GCAGCAGCCTTCTGTCTATGCACCAGAGACTGCTCCCGGTTGCACTTCCAGCTAAAGATTACACTTTATGTACAGCATACTAATCTTAAGCACAAAGTGTTAGCAAGCATGAATATCTCAGAAGTGTTCTCAACCTGGAACATGTTGTCGTCATTACTCCGATCACTCTTAGAGGAGCTGCTGGGTTTGGAGGTCTCTCCACTCTTCTGCTTTTTAGCAGGCTTCTCTGGGGCACTCGCCTTCTTTCTCTTGGCCTATGACAAATGTGATAAATTGTGCCATTTAGACTCATGAGTAGGGGCTTTGTTAGATACAAGCTTAATCATAGGTTGTAAGTTATGTCACCACATTTGAGTGAGTGCCAATTATCTCCGAAAAAAAAAACAAAAAAACAATCTAACAGTTTTGGTGTATCCAACAGGAAAACAGACAAGTTCTTCTGTATCCAATAATAGACTGTAATTTGTGGTACTTAAAACATATTAATGATCATACCTTTGTTTCTGCTTCGCTGTCAGAATCACTGCTAGACGTGGAGGACAACACTTCTTTTGATTTAGGCATGCTGGTGAAGACAACGGCAAGACTGTTACGACAAAATGTGAGCTAACACTGCCCCCTCATGACAATCCCAGAAACTACATTATTTGCTGCCCCACATGACACCCAAACACTGCAACCGAACTCCTTACTGCCAAATAGGGCCGGATACAACATATTGCTTGTCATTATTGCAGTACTGGCATTCAAATACTAATCTTGCAATCACAAAAAATTTTTGTGCACTGTTCATAAATCAGTTCTACATGAACGTGTTTGTGAAAGTGTCAGGGTATTCATGCGATCCAACAAATAAAAATGAAAAAAAAAAAAATTAGTATTAATAGTTATCATCCAACACCTGGTTGAGCTAATCAAAATGAAGTTAAATCAAGACTGCAGGTGCTGGAATTTAACACATCTATGTGATGGCTAGGCGTGTCGAGGAGAAATCTGGCATCAAACTGGCTCACAAAATATTAAGTACTATTTTGAAAAAAAAAAAAGATAGTGTTTTTACTGTATTTTCAGTAACATGTATGGTCTTTTTACCTACAAAAAACAATTATTACCAAGATAAACGGCTTTGGTGCGCAAGACTTTTGCACAGTACTGTAGATTAGTATACATACCACAAAAGTTCAAAAGTTTGCCATAATATTGAATAACAATTATTAATAACTTATACAGTGCATACCAAAATGGTACAAATTAGACATCAAAGCATGTAAATAAAACAATTTATTGACAATTTAAAGTATTTTGAGAACAAGAAGTTGTGACAGTTTTAAAAAAAATTACATAATACTGTACTTTTCAATGTATACAAACTTCTTGTCACAAAATTACTATGAATAGCTATTTGAGAGATCGGTAATTGTTTTTTTTTTCCAATATGAGGCAGTCTGGATATGAATATAATTGTATCTTCCTTCTTGATGCTATACAGCTTTCTCAACAGCTCTGTTCGTTAAAAATGTCTTGATTTTTAAACCTTCCTACAGTTTGAAACATAGAATATACCATCATGTTAGAATCTTTTATACATGCATCAACAACAAAACTGGTTTTACTGTTAAAAATAGTACTGAATAGTAGTGCCTAACATAGTACTGCTGCAGGCCAGTATTTAACCATGCCACTTGTCAATTAATTTTGAATATTTGGCAAAGTGTGACGCAATAGCAATGCGTAGCGATATAATCACAGCACTAGTATTTGGCCCATATATTGTGCAGCCCCACTGCCATAATCTTAGACAAGTTGATGCGATACCTTTTGAGAAGGGTCTGCAGTTAACCTCTGATCAAAATGTTTGTTGTGACAGGTTCATGTCTCAGAACTTTAGCCACCCACACTGATCCTCAGCTTAAGCTCTTTTTCTGCAAAGAAAGCCCGCCTAAACACATGGCCTACTGCTGATGAACACATGGATTTCTTTTGCTTCTTTGGCTCCATTTCGCTTCCACCTGATGCAGAGAAAGAGCTTATCTTTGGGTTAGGGGTTCTCAAGGACACTGTATGTAGATGGAGTTCTTTTAAATAAAATTCACACTCATTGTCCACTTTATTAAGTACACCTACCTTGCTATCCATTTTATCAGCTCCACTTGCTATACAGGTGCACTTTGTAGTTCTACAAATACAGACTGTGGTCTGCACATCTGTTTCTGCACATACTTCGTTAGCCTCCTTTTACCCTGTTCTTTAATGGTCAGGACCCCCACAGGACCACCACAGAGAAGGTACTATTTGGGTGGTGGCTCATTCTCAGCACTGCAGTGACGTGGTGGTGTATTAGTGTGTTGCGCTGGTACGAGTGGATCAGACACAGCAGTACTGCTGGAGTTTTTAAAACACCTCAGAGTCACTGCTGGACTGAGAATAGTTCACCAACCAGGATTATCCATCCAACAGTGTCCTGTGAACACTGATGACAGACTAGAGGATGGCCAATACAAACTGTGCAGCAACACGTGACCTGTTGCAGAGCTGGGCGAAATGGCAAAATAAATGTGATACTTAAAGACTTTTAAGTATTCAGTTAAGTATAATACATTTAAGTATAATACACACATCTTTCTGACATCTGATAAGTTGGAACAGACAAACTAGTGTCAGATGATTTGTATCTGTATGATTTGTATTTTTATCTTTATATTTCACATACTGGGCTTATCCTGGGAATATCCTGTCGTTGTAATCAAACATGCAGCTAGGAATTTTGTCTTTTTAAATACTGAGAATATCCACAATATACTCAGAAAATCATATTGGGACATAGTTTATCACGAGAACAATAAATATTGCACATTTATTGGCCGGCCCTAAACTACTGTGTCCGACTTTACATCTACAAAGGTGGACCAACAAGGTTTATGTATCAAACAGAGTGGACGCAGTCCAGTCTTAACTTGGCACAGACTTTCTACCAAAGGCCAATGTCAACAAGAAGGCAGCACCCTGCTCAAAGGTAGCAGGAGCTGTCTCCTCGACAGTGGCTGACCAAAGCACTGAAAACGAAAAAAAATACTGGCAGTTCCTGCCCAGCCTGCAGAGATCTAATACCTTGGGGATAAGGCCAGACGTTCGGGCCCATCTTGCACGGCAGCCTCAACAGTACACAGGTAAATTAAACGCCGTAAAGGACACAGTAGAGTTTATATGGTGCCGGGCTGGGTGGTCTCAAAGTGCAATTTTCCAAACAGTACCTAATCACGAAAGCCCTTTCCACTGACTTTGTATTTATTTTTGTATTTATTATTAAACCGTTTATTAGCAGATCAGCTTGATGCAACGTTAAATTCACGACACACAAAGCAACTTGCTAGCTCAAAACTAGCAGCTCAAACGTCGGTAGCGAGGCCTGAGATAAGATACTCTCAAACGCCTTTGTTTTCGTACAGATAACCCTCTGGATTCACTTTCGAGTTCTGCACATTAAAACACAAAAATATGGTCTCCAAAAATACATTTTGTGTTGTTCGCTATCAGCTGAATTTACGGCGACTTACATTGAACGATGCAGTTAGCTGGATGCTCTCTCCCAACGCGTACTTACAGCGGCGGGAAGTCTGGGTACCAAGATCACGGACCAATCATAGCTTTGTTTAGTACCGTGGAGATTTGTGGGAAATGTATTTTCTCCACTTTTGCGCCAGTTGTTAAACATCGCCAGGGAAAAGAGATATTAAGGATCCTTTATAGTACATTTTTCTTGTATTTTTTTCCCAAAGGTCCATTTATGATATCTATGTGGTGTTGCTTTATGTACTAAAACAGTCATAATTCATTTAACATTACTTTCCAAATTTTCTTTATCGCTTAGAATTAAACAGACTATTTCATTACTTTGAGACTAATATAAATAAATGCACTCTGTTCTGATTGGTTGCTCTTCATTGCGCCTCATTCAAAACAAAGTCCAGGCCGAAACTCTCTTAACTTCAACGTGAACGGACATGCTAAACTACTGACAGCTGAATGGAGAGTTGAGATACTGTAGGAAATTTTACCGGTGTTTGTGACGTCACAAAAACAGTGAACTCAAAGTGGGCTGTTTTTGCAGCTCACTTTCTATATATGAGAATGAAAGGACTTGTAAATAGTCGTTTTTTTTTTTTTACTTTAACAATGTTTACGTACCAAATCAAAGTCTTTTATTTCACAAATGTGAGGAAAATTCAGTTTTCCATGATATGGCTCTTTAACACAAAATAGACTTCCTGAGCATTCAGTGAGGGGCCCTTACCCATCCCATTGAATGAGTTTTTAATTTTGAACTGGGAAAAGTTACAATAAAACAATAAATAAGCAGCTCGGACTTTGTGACGTCGCAGGGACGGCTCACCTTTGAGGGGGACTGGGTAGCATCCTATGTCTAGCTTACTCTGCCGTTGGGTGCAATGGAACCATGGCTGTGCAGAGCGGCCACGCAAGGAGGCTCCTGGGAAGCGTGGCGTTCACAGAGATAAATTTATTGTAAATACATTACTGCTTAAAATAGCGTATATGTGTTGATTGTGTCATTCTATTTGGGTTGCGTGGTAGTTAGTGCAGTGTTAGTGCCTACCATCAGGTAAGAGTGTCTCGGCCAATTGAACAGCGGTTCTGCCTTGCTGCCTATGCAATAAAAGAGCATTTGCCTTCAACGTGCAAGCGTGTCTTGTTCTTCGCTAACGCCACTATATTTATATCTATGCCTTAGACATATATATGTATAAAACATATATGTACATGATGCATCTTACAAAACCTCAACTAACATTAATGTTGGATATAGTGTTCTGTCCCCCGCAGGACGGCCCAGTCTTATCTGTAAAGGTCCAATGTGGCTGCAGGTTTTTATGGCACGATTCGCATCACTTTGTGGAACTACTATTCCCAGTAGTCACTCTTTGCGTTGCGCATGCGTAGACTGGTCAACTTCCTGCTACGACGTTCTGATATAAATACCGCTGGTAATGAGTCAGAGCTCGTCAGAGAAGAGGAACCCAATGATTCCCATATGTCCAGTGGTCTCCTTCACCTATGGTGAGCAAAATTAAATAAAATCATACATACTGGGACTGTATGCCGGCCCATGCGGCTTGGTTGCGGTTGTGATTGAGTAATGGGTACAGTGGGGTGTGTAAATGCTCGGTGTGAGTTCATTATTTACATGGAACGAAGCCCGAGGCTAATGCGGGGTTTTCATGGTTGCTAGTTAGCCTGTTAGCGAGCTAGCTAGCCTTTCGTTAGCCGAACGCTCAGCCTCGGTGAATCTGACGAAGCCTCCTATTCGCCAGCGTCTTGCTTGTGTTTTCCCATTCCACCTTAAATGATACAGCAGTTACAGAAGTAGCCTTAGGTGCCAGAATGTAACTGCTGCACCATTTAAGGTGGAGTGTGAAAATTCGAACAAGAAGCTGGCGAGCAGGACGGCGGTTTAAGCCTCGTGTGAATCTGTCTCTTTGCAGTGCCCAGCCGGCTAGGTGAAGATGCCAAAATGGCTACCGGCAACTACTTTGGATTTACCCACGGTGCTGCTGCGCAGTACAGGTAAGGGCTTTTGTGGTGGCGTTATTTTCTCTGTTTGAATCCCTTCATTGTAGCGATGCTTTCACTGTTGGCCGTTGCGAGTGGTGCGATTTACGATATCCCGGTTGCCATTGTTCAGCAGTGGGGGAGGGGGCGCTTTCCAGTGAGCAGAACGTATATGTAGGGACGTCAAGTGTAAGTTAGCCGGTTCAGTGTAAAAATATACACGATATTTGCCTTAAAATGGCGATTATTGCTCTTTCTGATAACAGTTGCCCCGGCGACGTTATGGCCGTTACAGTGCTCGGCCTCTCGGGGCGTTGATGGAAGCATCGTGTTTCGGAATCACAAATGAACTGCACCGTTGTTTTCTTGTTTACGGAAACATGAGCTGTTTTCACGAGCTCTGGTCACTGTTAATAAATCATTTGGCAGAAGGGGCATCGACTCTGGCTTTAACCGTATGTGACTAGATGCCTAGATTTCTGATGTTTGGATTCGCTGAGGTTTATCGGGACTAGGCCTAAAGTAAACGCATTGCTGCACTGCTGGACACGCTAGTGTGTCTGCAGTCAGCTGTCATCGTGAAGCCGGTCCTGCACCATGTAGCCTTAGCTAACCTAGCTGGTTTTCTTTTTCATCAAACGCTAAAAAAACGCAGAACACTGTGGCAGATGGTAGTTTATTGCAGTAGGAACCGTAATTATTATCGACAGAGTAGGCGACCCGCTCCACATGCCCCGAACAGGATCACGATATTCTCGTTTTGAGAGATTCTGAACGACAGGATCCTGGTGGGCAGTTGTCAAGGACTCTCTGAATGTCACGCAGTCTTTTACCACACTCAAGCAAATCGGCTGCTGCTTTTCCCCTTTTAAGTGTCCTGCTCAAAGCTACAAAATGTGCCTATCCATTGTCTGATTGGACAGAAACTGTGGAGAGGAATTCGTGTCACACTGAAAAGCGATCACCACAGTGGAAAAATGTGAAATGCAATGCACACATGACATTACTTTTCAACAGTGAGACACAGAATATGCACCAAAATGAAAAACAAAACCTCTGTTACGCTGTTGACCTCCTTACTGAAACGGCACACAATGATTTGCATTTTAATAATTAAATGCCAAATTCGAGTCAGACTCGAAAACAATTGACTTTGAAATGTAATGAATGCACGGCTCTGTTGTTTAACACTTTGCAGTAATTTGAACAGATTTTCTTGATTGAAATGCAATCGTAATGGTGAAAACGGTGAAATGTTATGCACACGACATTACTTTTCCATAGGTGACATAAGTGCTGAAATGAAAAGCAAAACCTCTACTATAATGTTTTGTCACTTGACATCTTTTTGTACTTGAAACATATTAAAATGCAATCAAAACAGTGAAGTACAACGCGCACACACGAGATTGCGTTTAAACAGTAATGTACGGGAAATGTGCCATAATGAAAAGTAAAAAATCCCTTACGTTGATTTAGTGTGATTTGATGTACTGCAGAGTGGAAAGCAGTAGTCGTGCCTTCACTACATTTTCATGGTGGACTGTATTCACTGCTGATGTGAGTTCTCTATAAGCAAGTCAATGCTGTCAGTAGTAACCAGTTTATTTCTATTTTGGACTGGGTGATATGGCGAAAATATTATTTCATGATACTTAAGGCTTTTTTAAAAATACACAACAAGAATCACAATGTTATATCCAGTTAGACAGGCCTATTTGTGCTCACTTCCATGATATGCTAATGAAAAGCATATTGTGACATATAACGGTAATTGTAAAATATCATCATATTGCCCACCCCTGTTTCTATTAAGCCTCACCCCCACATTAAGTACTTACATGAACATTTTTTTTTTTTAAGTAATGAAAATATTTATTTATTTATTTAACCAGTGGGCATGTGAAATGTTTTTGATATAGTTACAATTTTCTCTATTGGTGTAGGGTGACGAAATTATATGGTATAACTTTTTGTATTGTACCATATTAACAGTATGATATTAGACCCTGGTCATTGTGGGATATTTGAACTGATTAAACTGGAGAAAATCATATTTGTCAAATGGCATGCATGTCCCCATAGTTTGATAACTATTCTATTATTGTTTGTAATTAATTATCTAATGTGTAATCACCCATTGTTGCTGTAACTAGAGCTACCCAGGCTAAAATGCAGCCTCTTCATGGCGGAGTTAGTTTAAACATGGTGTTACAACTGAGCTACCAAAAGTTTCCAATCAGAAGTCCATATTCCTCCATATAAAGACAATTCAACGCATTCTTTAAAAATATATTTGAATGTTTTTAAAAATGTATTTTAAAAATATGAATTATTTTACTAGTACTTTTGTTCTTTGCAGCCCAAAATCACCAGTCTTTTTGTTTGCTGATTGCTAGACAACATCGAATTCTATTGAAATGATAGGTTGCCTTAATTTGCTTAGGAGTTAATTGGGATGTTTTAATATCTGCGCTCATGCAGATGCTTGCATTTGTTGGTGTTTGCTTGCATTTAAATGTTTCTTACTCAAATATTTAAGAAAATATGTAGCAAAAATGTAAATTTGTTGTGGGCTGCTCTCCTCTATTGGTCACAAAAAAATGATGGTGCTTCTTCCTTTTCTTTTAAATGGGATTATCATATAAGAATAAAAAACTGCTCAACAGTTGACAGTAATTAAAGTCAACCAGAAATCATTACCTGGTAAATATGGACAATAACAAGTCTGTGTTGGACAGATTTCTTTTTATTGTCTATAATTGCCATAAATTTAAAGGGCACATCTAGAAATGTGCTGTCCTTGGTAAATAAGATCACACTACTCCTATATCAGTGTAAATGATATGAATGATGTAGACTTATAGACACTTGGCAGCAGTAATGTAATTTTTTGTTAAGTAATTGTTACCCTTTTCCTGTCCCATCCCTGATGCAGGCAAATTGCCTGTTTACATTAAATAGCCACTGTTATTATTTTACGTGTATATTTAAACTGACGCTTCTCAAATGTCAGGTGACTGAGGATGACCCGCATTGCCCCCATATTCTAGTTCACCTTTTCACAAAAAGAACAAGTAAGGTATTCGTAACCTGGTCTGTTTATTTGTTTAAGCCTTAACATTTGCAATTTAAATTAATCTCCATGATATGATCTCAGTGCAAAAAACACAGATTTTTATTTTCTCACACAGTACTATTTTTTAATTGGTATTTAAACAAACCAATAAACGCTTACCGATCTGAATTAGCTCACACACTTGCTCAGAAACTGTTGATGTGCATCCATCAATAAAGGCAGCAATGATTCTTGTTTTATACAGTGATAAACACAGAAGTCTCCAGTTGCACAGACATGTATGTGTTTTAATTCTGGTGACATGTTTTAATGAGTTAAAGTGAACACCAGCAAAGTCTCTGTTTGTATCACCAGACAAAAATGTTTGACTGGAGTAAACAATTGATTTTTTTTTCCCTCCCCCCACCCTTACTGAGTAAATTGGGTGGAGTGAATGTATCAGTGGTGTGTGGGGCTTTTACAATGGCTTTTTAGAATCATGGAATGCTGATAATGTCTTAATGCATTCAAGCAGTATCTGAGGCTCTTTCATACAGTGCTTAGTCTCAGTTGAAGAAGCAACAGTAGTGTCAGATCATTCAAAAGCTTTATAATATGTGCAAATAGTTTTATTTGATTGTATTGGTAGATCCACCTTGACATAAGATAAATGTTCAATGGGCTGTGTGTTTTTATTTATTTGTTTGTTTATTCGTTTAGGTCTGATCCTCTATTCATTAAAGCAGTAAGCCATGAGAGGCTGTACGTTACTGCGATTTTATGGGAAGGGTGTTCTAAAAACTTCCTTCCCTGTGATATAATCGCAGTAATGCACAGCCTCAGGTGGCTTATTGCATTTATAAAACCGTGGCCAACATAAATTCTGTATTTTATCATATTTTTTCAGAAGGTAATTTATTATTAATAACAATCGACATAAGTATTCCACCAAGAAATATAGTTCCTTTAGAGTATGGTGTCGTTGCCAGACAACCATGGACCACTGAGTGAGAAGAATGTTCGGTCGCACGTTGCTGTGTGTTGCAGACATTTCATGAAAGTTTAAAATTTTTGTAATACAAGAATGAACATATGACAACACAGCACTGTTTTAGGCAAAACTTTTGCTTCATAAGTACTTTTTGGTCACCAAATTATCACCACGAGTCTCATTAAGCACGAATCCAGTGACTCCCCTCTTCGCGTGCTGCGGTTGAATCTCAAATGGCTTCCTGCTCCCTATGTAGGAATTTGAATACTGGCTCTTTTAGCCTGTTAGCTAGCTGACCAGCCTAGTTCTAGTTAAGAACATAAGTCACCAGCCCCTCAGTTTGAACAAAATCAGGTTCTTACTTCATCAGCATATTCGGTGGTCCATTCAAGCAGCATGAGAGTCAAAGATTAATCTGTTAACAACACTATGTGCTTGGTGTTTCTTTTTTTTTGTGTAGTAATAAACGAGTTGTTGTTGTGAGGTGGTCAGAGGTGTACGTTTATTGTGGATTTCACAATGGCTTCGAATGCAGCCCAGCCAATCAGATTTCAGGACTGGAACTATCAGTTTTATAAAAGTCAGTATGGCACAGTACCATATAACAGTAATTATCATGTTTTATAATTATGCCTAATGTGTGGGATTGTTGGAAACTGTCCTGGTAGTTTAAAGGCACTGCGTTTCATGCCCTCCCAAGACACTAAAATTAAGTTTGTTCATGATGGGCAAGCTTGAAAGTAATATATTGAAGACACCATAAAATAAGTATTAAAATAAGTAGTCTCGCACTATTCGTGTAGCCAATAAACATGGTGATTATACTACATCTTTTATGAAGTAATATGTAGCTTATCAAATCTAACTTAAATTGGGTTAGTTTGACTAACCTTTAATGCACTTAACATGTTTGCAGTGTCTACAGAAATGCAATTATCTGCTCAGGCTCTGGATCTACAGACGCTCAATACTAAATGTGAGATTAGGGATAAAAGTACTGATGGTATAGCACTCTGAGCCCTTATGTTCTTGTCTTGCAGTTATGCATTAATTATTATCACAAATCTGTCTGCTGTGGTGATTAATTAAGCCTGCAGTTAATTAGATCTTGTTCATTTTGAAAAGCAGGTGCTTCTGTTTAAAGCTTTGAGCAAACTAACTGACCTCTGAGCTTTCCATTGAAGGTTCTTTGAAGGATGGCTGTATTCATGTAGGCTGACAATCCTTACATGCATTCCCACTTGGAAACTGTCCTAACTGGTTAAAGGCATTTCATACCCAAGACATGGAAGTGATATGTTCACTTTTAAGCCAGTGAATGATCTTATGTTTTTTTTTCACGAGGAAAATAAATGACTAGGCATCAGAGGTGTATTGGTATTAGCAGAGAATTGCTGCAAAAAAACTACCAGCATTGTACAGATGTCTAGATTAAACATTTCGATTTGACAATTCTGATATTTTCATGGCATTTATTGTACTTCAGGAGAGCAGAACCTTTGGATGGTGCTGGGCTACTGTGCTTTAAAAGACGGCATGTTATTAATTTTTAGCATGTGTGTAGTTTTGAATAGTTTCATATGTAACTCCATACAAATAAATGTTTTTTTCTTCTTTATGGCAATGCAGGTGGATTTAGTCTAATTTTTACATTTTAGTGATATTAAAGCATCAGTATGTGAATATCATGTATAAAAATAACTAAAAAGGGCCTAGGCTTATAATTTCCTCCCATTGTGCATCCCTATAAATTACACAATCCCATTACACAATCCAGCTCACCAAGCATGCAGCACACGCACAGATTAGTGTTTCTAGTAAAAGCTTTAAAGATGTATCTGCCCAATAATCTGCCCTTGAATAAGATCTGATGTTAAAATGACTGTAGTAACATTTTGATATTGTAGGTAGGCGTGTTCCAGTCTGATTTGAAAGCTCAGTGATGGTAAAGGACTGACACAGACATATTAATTGGTTTATATGAGCTGTATAAGGCTGTATAAAATCCAGTTCCTCTCCTTTGTTAAAGCTGTTTCAATGCATTGCATTCTTTCTGCCACTGTTGTTGTGGTAACATAACCAGACCTTTTTCACGACTGGCAGTAGTGAGACATAATTCAGGAGTTAACAAGCGCTTATCAATGTGGAATTGTTTTAAAGCTGAAAATTAAAACAAGGCAACAGCGATGTGTAACATCTGCAAGATTTTGAATGTGGTTAAGCTGGACTTTCATCAAAACACTGTTAAAATGCATGTAAAAACTTAGTTTGTACTTGTTAGACAAGCTTGAAAGTTTGAAACTCGTCAGTTCGGTGTCACACTATTCATGCAGCCAGTATTGCAGCATTATTAGTAATAGATAACCTAGCATATCTAGCTTAAATTGGATTGGTTTTTACTAGCTTTAGAGTATGTCACATGGCTACAGTGTTTACAAAAATATGAATATCAGCTCAGGCTATGTATCAGTAGATGCCCAGCACTAAATGTCTCTGAGATTAGGGGTAAAAATGGCTACAGGTAGGACATTCTTGATAAGCTCTCGTGTTCATGTCTTCATAGTTCATTAAGGCTGCACAGTTACTTGTTAATGATCATCAGGATGATTAGCCTGTAGTTAATTAGATTCCTCTCTTCATTTTTACAATCAGGTGCTTCTATTTTAAGCTTTGAGCAAATTAACTGACCCCTTATGCTCCCTTTGGGAGATCTGTGAAGCATAACTAAGTTCATGTAGGCAGGGGAAGGTTGTACATGCATTCCTGCAGCTTGTGAGTCTGCACTGAAATGTACAGTGACTACTAATTAAAACTGTCAGTCACAATTAGAATATTTGTGTGCAATTGATCAAGTTTCATTGTATTTTAGTATTGTACAGATACATGTGGATTTGTTCTGCATTTTAACTGTACTGTTGCCTAAAATTGTGAAATGCAGGAAATATTTCATGTGACCTGCTTACTCTTAGTTATTAGGTATTTGTTTAGTCATATATTTCTACTACAAAAAACATTGCTTTTACGTTGCTGTTGCTAAAGTCAAATGAACTGTGTCTTTGCATAATGCAAAAGGTATGTAAAAAAGGGGGTTTTAGTATGTAAAGGCCTAGGTTTTGAATAACGCAAAAGACTATATAGAGTTGGCTCCAAAATACAGAGGGCATTGGTCACTGATCCTTCTCAGTGCGTTATCTTGGTATAACATTTGTGTTTAAAGTCTTCAAAGAAATGTTACTTGATGAATACTTGCTTTCCTCTCTCTTTGCAGTCAGCAGCCGGCCGCTGGGGTAGCCTACACCCACCCCACTACAGTGGCCAGCTACACTGTACACCAAGCACCAGTGGCGGCTCACACAGTGGCCGCGGCCTTTGCCCCCACAGCTGCCACAGTTGCCGTAGCCAGGCCCGCCCCCGTCGCCGTGGCTGCAGCTGCTACCGCTGCTGCTTATGGCGGGTACCAGCCTACTCACGCTGCCACCGACTACGGGTATGCCCAACGCCAGCCGGAAGTGCCCCCACCTCCTCCACCGGTTACCTCCCAGAACTATCAGGTAAGGTAGTATTTATGATGTCATAAGGTGTGTGTTCCCCCCCCCCGCTCCTTCTGGTTTAAATATTTGCATTGTAATTGTTTAACATCCATTTAGCTTAAGATGTTATCTTTACTTGATAGGATTCGTTTAGTCATATTTGTCTTAGTTTTGTATATATGGTTTAGCACGTACTTAGTTGACCAAAGGTTCATTGTTGCAGAACTCGGACAGTATTAACTAGGGCTGCAACAAACGACTATTTTGATAGTCGAATAATCTATCGATAATCGATTATTCGTTTCAATAATTCAAATTCTAAATCGCTCAATTACAAATAACTAATATGTAGCTATCAGCTTTTAAAATTTGCTTGAGGTTGTTTTTTGCATTTGCCAACTACAATGAAGACAAAGATGAATACCTTATTTAAACATTCACTGTTTTAATTAACTTTCTGCTTGCTGAGTGCAATATTCCTAAAGTGGGTTCTGTCCAAAATGATACTTCCTTAAACTGCTGCTCTGCGACGGTACTGAACGCAGCCCAGCAGTGATGTTGACTGCCCCCAAATAGCAGCACCATTGATGGGCCTGGCTGAACCCAGCTAGGCATCTGTGCGAATATCTATGAGCAACACTTTTTCTCTAGCCATAAACGTGAGGTGCATTCAAGTTTAGCAAGCAGTGGCGAACGTTTGTGGCAACTTGTTTTCTATGAACAGTTAAATTTGAGTGATTTCTGTGTAAATATTCCATTTCATCGATAACCCTTCGTCCAGCTGCCCTGTATGTTTTGCATAGAACTACTTATTATTATTATTATTATTATTATTATTATTATTATTTTATTTATTTATTTTTTAATACACCTGTTAAGAATGGGTGTGGCCAAAACACATGAGCTTGATAGTTAGGAAGCGTATCCACATACTTTTGGCCATATTTTGTATGTTTGTTCTTTGACTGATGTTTAATAGCAATATTTGATGTATTTATCGCATTCTAGAAGTGCAGAATGTTCAGGCAACGCTGGACTACTGTGCTAAAATACCTGCATTTTATTTGTTTTACTGCATTTGTGATCCTTTAAAATATATGTATTTCTCTCTAATGCTATTGCATGTTGATTGTATAAATGTTTATGTACTGGTGTTGGCAGATAAGTGCATGGGAAAATATCGGAGATCAGCATTGGCCTAGAATATTCATATCAGTCCATCTCTAAAATTGACAATTCTATGATTTTATTTATACACCTCAGACTACACATTAATTGTTCAGTTATTCAAATTAAACAAAGAAATGTTTTAGATATTCATATTTGAATAACCACACCCATTCCTAGTTATTAGTTGACAATCACAAATGACTTATTTCTTTTCCCCCCATCTCTCTGTACTAACTTGGATTTACTTCAAGCAATTTCCAGTGAGGCATTCTCGAAATGCCTGTTCACTTCATGTTCTGGTCTCCAGATGTGACTTTAAAATAGCTTTCTCTGAAACAGAAGCCAAAAGGCTGATGTGGAAATATCTCACATTTGCTTTCTTTGAAAAGCCTAACAGTGGAAATATAGTTAAATCTTGCAGGCATCTGGAGAATTCTCAACTGCCAGTTTAAATTACAGTAGCTAATCTCTGCCCTGCACCTGACAGTGATTTTTGGCATCTTCTGTAGACTTTTTTCTAACTAAATTCCCTGTTCCTCTTGCAGGATTCCTATTCTTACGTTCGGTCATCAGCCCCGGCTGTAGCTTATGACAGTAAACAATACTATCAGCAGCCCACAGCTACGGCAGCAGTAGCTGCAGCAGCTGCCCAACCACAGCCCAGCGTTGCGGAGTCCTACTATCAAACAGGTAATGCAGTTGTCGTTGTCCGCATGATCATGTCATTATTTTTTTAATTTATTTATTTATTTTTACCCAGTGTTTAGTCTTTCTAATTACATAGCAATAAACTTTTTGTATTTGAAAGAATTGACCTGGCTTGATTCATTGTTACTGTGAGCCATTATGTAACAGGCAGGCATTAATTCATTCTCAAATTACATTGATGAGAGGCTCAGCCTATCATGTAATCCGAGTGGAACGTTGATAAGATTGCTCCATTGTCCCTGGCTTCTGTCAGCGCCCAAGACTGGATACAGCCAGGGCGCCACCCCGTACACACAGACCCAACAGACGCGTCAGGTTACAGCTATTAAACCAGCCACTCCGAGCCCGGCCACCTCCACCTTCTCCATCTACCCAGTGTCCTCGGCTGTGCAGCCGGTGGCTGCGGCCGCAGCAGCTGCAGCCTCTGTGGTCCCATCGTACTCCCAGAGTCCCACCTACAGCACCAATGCTGTCACATATTCCGGTAAGAAGCCCAACGTTTTCATTCTGGCTCGCAGTCTTCATAGTCACCACAAAATTACAAGTGTCCTGAAATGATCTATTAAGTAATTTCTGTGAGCCTTTATTTGTTGTGGGTGTCAAAATTCACACACGTTGATTTTGGCATGTTAAAATAGATTTTAAGTGTTTCACTGATGCTAGCACAAAATACAATATTGGCAGCAGCAAAATACCGCAATTTCTGATGCAGACGTGAGCTATTGGGGGATGCTTGCATGATGCTTGCAATTTTAAGGATCTATTGATATTAGTCTACAGTGGGTTTTTTTTGGCCAGAATAAAATTCATGGGCTATCTTTAAAATTATTTAATGTTGGCCGTTTGCACATAAGATCGGGCACCTCTGCCCTTTACCATGTGTTTACTCATTGCTTTTGTTCTCAGGCACATCCTATTCAGGGTATGAGGCTGCGGTGTACTCTGCTGCGTCTTCATACTACCAGCAACAGCAACAGCAGCAAAAGCAGGCTGTTGCAGCCGCCGCAGCCACTGCAGCCTGGACTGGCAGCACGTTCACCAAGAAAACCCCCTTCCAGAACAAAACTCTGAAACCCAAACAGCCTCCAAAACCACCGCAAATACACTACTGTGATGTCTGCAAAATTAGCTGTGCCGGACCACAGGTAAGTCTTGCTTTTTGTACTTGTTTGACCCACCCCACTCAACCCCCGAAGGATTATTGTGTTGAATGTATTAGGATTCGGTACAACACTCTGTTCACTCTAAACAACAAGGCACAAGACAATAGGTGCAAAACAGGAAGGCATTAGAAACACCACACAATGAAATAAATATAAACAGTGACACAAATGTAATTCATTGTTCTTGGTGTTGCATGAACACTGTTTTTTTTAGGTGTTCTGAAGGAGCTGTACACTGAATCATGGCTTACCTCAGCTGAGGATAAGTTACAAATACATCTCTTTTCAGAAGCCTCTCTGTTCACTTATAGACTTACAAAGAGCATCTGGAGGGTCAGAAGCACAAGAAGAAGGAGGCAGCGCTGAAGGTTTCTCAGAGCAGCAGCAGCAGTAGCGGAGGCAGCAGCTCTGCCCGAGGCACGCAAAACCAACTGCGCTGTGAACTCTGTGACGTCGCCTGCACTGGGGCGGATGCCTACGCTGCGCACATCCGCGGAGCTAAACACCAGAAGGTGAATGACTCATTCTTCAGGGTGACTTATACAGAGATTTATTTACCCTTATGTTTTGATTTTTTGTTTCTCTGTACACTATATTACATATTTATGAATAACATTCACATTTTATATATATTATATTGTGTAAAAGCCATTACACACTGAGCGCTTTTTTGTGCTATTTATTCGGATGACGATATTTCAAGCATGTATATGTTTTACACACCAAACATCATTTTACAGACCGTGAAAAATTTTAATATTGTTTTTGTGCTCAGTTCAATGCAAACTTCACTGGCGAAATGAACTCTGACCAATCACATTCATCTCTGGCATTGGCATGACACCAAAGATGATGGAGCAGTTGTATTCCAGCAAAAAAAAAATAGAAATTTAATGAATGCTAACAGGATCAGAATCTCCAAAAAAAGCTCAAACTGGGTCACAAACATCAGAGTTATAGCTTATGTGGATGCAGTCTTTCAGCTTCTGAATGAGCACAACGGGTGGACAGTACCCAGTGCTTCTTCTAGGATTTTTCACACACCTTCTGGCACCCATGAAATTAGGTGGAGAAACTGTTTGTTCTTCCCTTGCTTTTCCAAAGTGGAAAGCAACCTGCACAATATCACAGGTAGCTCATTTCATAAGAAGCAAAGTGCAAACAATTTGGTGAAATTAAAAAAAAATAAAATGATCACATTGCATACGGTGTGTGTATAGTTTTGATGCAAAAAAAAGTGCGTCAGAATATTTTGCATTCTTGTGCTATTTTTCCACGTCGCCTTCAGTGTGTAATGGCCTTAGGTTTGCATTTCTGTATTTTGGTCTTTGTCAACAATTGACAAATGTGTTGAAGATATAGAAGAGATGTTTTCTTTACCTAAAGAAAATAAATATATTTATGCCCCTCTTACGCTAGGTTGTAAAACTACACACCAAGCTGGGGAAGCCCATCCCATCAACAGAGCCCAGTGTAGTGACACAAGCATCCGCATCCACCACGGCAGCCGCTAATAAGACAGCCAGTGCATCCCTCAACAGTTCCACCAGCAGCACTGCATCTGCTCTGCCTGCCTCCTCCACCATCTCCAGCTCCTCCTATCTGAAACCCGTCGGGTTGGTCAACAGCACCATGACCTCAGCCGCGCAGGGTAAGAGCCCTGCCCCCAATGTTTCTGCCACCACAGCTGCTGTCAAAAAGGTCAACACACCCAAGATCAACTTTGTGGGTAGGTATCAGTCTTTGTTACTTGCAGTTGTTGTTGCATGCAGATTTTCTTTATGTGAAATTTCACCTATAACTCCTTTTAACTTACAAGACTCAAGTTGATTTGCTCTAGAAAATGCTTATATTTTGTGTGTTGTCTTTTTCCCCCTCTTCTGTCATGAATTTGTACCTAGTAGGGCTGCACAATATTTTTGTTAAAAGGTTATCGATGATATTGACCTTTTGCTATACTTCTTATTGAAGATTTGAGTATGCAAAGAAGGCCTCTAACCAATCATCATCGTCATCATTGTTAAACTGTGTGCTGTGAGCATCCTTGACCAATCATAGTCTTGTGGGGCCAGACATCATCTTGTACTGAGAACATGTAGGGACAACCATGAGATTCTCAGCTAAATAAGTGTGGGCACAAACTGAATGTGAAATTTCTAAACCAATTCAACACTTTGTGAAGGTGGACTTTGTAGGGGGCAGTGGTGCACTTTATCAAAATTGTATGACGGACAACAATTTGGTCGTTAACCCATGGATGTAATGGGGCAAAAAAGATCTGTTACCTAACAATAACATTTCCTTAGCTCCTTGTTTTGCTGGTGTTGTCGCTTACTGCAGACATTAAAAGATCCTGCCCCAGGGGGAAACCCTTGTTTGAAGCAGATTTTGCTACAATTCAGCATATATTCTCTTTACAACATCATGTCTGGCTCTGCGAAACAAGAACAACCACAGTGTTTTGATGATTGAAGTTATTATTGTAATCCCCTAGACATCAATTTGTTTTCGTCAAAATAATGCAGGCCAAGCTTTAAATGTCACATCATTGATACAGAAGACTTTGGAAGATGTATTCCATTTGCAATATGTAGGAATATAATCACTGTACTAATATTTTGTCCACATTGTGCGACCAGGTTGGTCTGGGAGCCTGACCCTTACTACTGAAAATCATAACATTGGTCATTTAGATGTGTTATGATATAGCCGAACCACCATCACACTAATATTTCTCTGCTGTTACAGGTGGAAACAAGTTGCAGACCACTGGTGTTAAGATGGATGACTCAAAGATTGAGGCAGCTAAACCTGCCCAGTCCTCATTGGTCACACCGTTGCAGGAGGTTAAAAATGATGCCCCTGATTCACTGTCCCCACAGTCGGCTCTGGCAGCCTTGCAGAGTGACGTCCAGCCTGTCGGACATGACTATGTTGAAGAGGTAACCGAACTTCCGTCTCCAAACAAATGTGCACATTTATCAGCAGTTGCCAGAACATGGCACTTGGTGACAAGTGTGCATAATAAATATCATAATAAAAATCTCTTTACAGGTTCGGAATGATGAAGGAAAAGTCATCCGGTTCCACTGCAAACTGTGCGAATGTAGTTTTAATGATCCCAATGCAAAGGAAATGCATTTAAAGGGAAGGAGACATCGTCTGCAGTATAAGGTTGGTGGATGATCTTTTTATTACCAGATTTGGTTAATATACTGTTTCCTAATATTTAATCCTAACTCAGTATCCACACATATTGAAAACTTGGGCTGGGCAGAGCATAAATGTTTGAAATTTGCATGCTACTACCTCAAGGAGTAGTTTGATCAAAAGCCAGATTTACACTGTTGTCAACTTGGGCTTCAGATTTGAGACTGCTTTTTAATTCTGCAGTTTGGTACAATCTGCCAACATCCTGAAATGTGGGGGAAAAATGAGGGGAACATGCCAACAAGCTAGTGTGATGCTTTTAAAGTCTGAAGCATATGTCCAGCTCTGTTACTTCTGTGTTTATCACCACCCCTCTATGACCATTTCCTGCTTTTCTGTTAGCTTAAATACTTAATGTCTTCCCTCAACGTAGAAAAAGGTGAACCCTGACCTCCAGGTGGAAGTGAAGCCTAGCATCAGAGCCCGAAAGATCCAAGAGGAGAAGATGAGGAAGCAGATGCAGAAAGAGGAGTACTGGAGACGAAGGGAAGAAGAGGAGCGCTGGAGAATGGAGATGAGGTCTGAATCTTGATGTTAAATTATTATTATTATTTACTATTATATGCATTTTATGCAGCTGTACTAAGACGCAATGCCAGATGATTCAGTGATTCAATTCTTCTGTCTTTAGGCGCTATGAGGAGGACATGTACTGGCGACGAATGGAGGAAGAGCAGCACCATTGGGACGACAGGCGCAGGATGCCCGATGGTGGATATCCACAGGGCCCACCTGGACCCCCCGGTCTCCTTGGGGTGAGGCCTGGAATGCCCATGCCACAGCCGCAAGGACCTGTGGTTAGTCTTTCAACAGACAGAAGCACTTTATTCAGTATTTAGAATTATCTTTACTGATGTTCTTATAAATAATAATGTTATACATAAAATGTGAAAGTGCTTCCCAGTATTTCAGTAAAACTACTAATAGCAAAAAATACAATAAATCTAATAGGGATATAATGATCATTCATTATTGTGCCAGTTCCAGGTTGTTTACAGCCCAATTGAACAGATTTTTATAAACACGCCTACATTATTGCCTCACTTTGTTTCGTGAAATTGCAACACATCTGCCATAATAAAACAATAATTTGGCTGATTGCCAATTTTGGGCCAAATGCTGCTCTTTAAAAAGATATTGTCAGTACAGTCAACATCAATGCAGTATGTAGTGATAAAGCAATGAACAGGAAGCGGCTCTGCTTGTCTTCACTTAACTTGAGATAAAGTGTTTCAACTGCAAGTCCTTGTCTTAGAAGTTAATCCTTTGGGCCAAGCAACAGGTGGAGTAAACTTGTCTGCATGTTAAAAGTAATGACTGTGTTTCAACGTGCTCATGTGTACAAAACAGTGCATGTAGTTATTACCCTTCATGACTTGCTTGTCCTGACCTGCATTGTGTTTCAGCCCCCACGTCGCCCTGATTCTTCCGATGATCGTTATGTGATGACCAAACATGCAGCTATTTACCCCTCTGAAGACGAGCTCCAGGCCATCCAGAAGATCGTGTCCATCACCGAGCGCGCCCTCAAGCTTGTGTCTGACATCATCACCGACCAAGACAAGGGCAAAGAAGAGGAAAAGGAGAAAAAAGAGCCTCCCAAGGACAGGTGAGCCAAGACATTTTGTCCTGAGTGTGTTTTGTTTGTTGTGTGTTTTTGTTGGGGTTTTATGCATAGTTTTGAACTGTTTTACTCATTGTAATTTAGTGTAGTTTACTACCCTATTTAATTGAACTATATGTAGTCTAAGGCTGTCGCAATTAATTAGGTAAACAAAATTACTATCTTTAAATGTGTTTTCCTAATGTGTTTGACCCTTTGAACCATCTGCAGTTCCACCCTGAAACCCAACTGTTTAAGCAGTCTGTGCTGCTCTGCGACTGCGTTCCTCTGGTTTAATACGGGTTTTAAATGGAAAGCTCCATTGTTGTGTCGCTTGATGAAACTAAAGTCATTTCAAAGTTGTAAAAAGCACTGGTTTTTAAAAGAAAATAAATCTCTCAGTACAATTAGATTTAAGTGCATAAAACAAATGAGGCCAATTGCAATTAACTGCACAAAAGAATATGGTTATCTCTTATTAAATCCTAAAATGTAGTTACAATGAATTAGCAGTGATTAGTTTGAATTTGCATGATGCATATTTTAAATTCATCTACTGCTCTCACAGTAATAAGCGGAGTCTGCTGGACATATCCATTTATGTGAATGGTTTTAATGTGTTATTTTATTTTATTTATTTTTTATTATTATTATTTTTTTTTGAGAAAGGGCTTTGCATGGTCAAAATTTGGTTGTGTTTTTATTTTCAGTGTTTTTACTCTGATTACTTGATTTCCCCCCACCCCCAGTCCACATAGGCCCTGTTTTGTATGTTTCGCTGGGAGCCATGGAGAAATGTTTACTGTATACTTCAAATATTGATGGTATGACAAAGTTCTACTTGAGTCTATACTTGACTTTTGATTTGCTCTTCCACCTTCCAGAGCGTTGAAGGGCGTGATGAGGGTTGGCGTCCTGGCCAAAGGTCTGCTTCTGCGTGGAGACAAGAATGTCAACCTCGTTCTTCTGTGCTCCGAGAAGCCCAGCAAGAGTCTGCTGTCGCGCATTGTAGAACATCTCCCTAAACAGCTCACGGTATTGATTCTTTGTGAATTTGCTTTGGTGCATGCTTATTCAGTACTTCTATTTATTTTCAGCCAACCCAAAGCCTTTTAGTCCAGAAACAGCCAACACCCTGTCATTCTGTTCCGTTCTTCAAGTATTTGTTACAGTATAAACATGCTTGATCTCACTTATCAGATTCTGTTTAATGCCGTAATTGCCAACGGTAGGTTTGTTTTTGTTTAGCGAGGAGATCATATGCAAAAGGGTGTGTCACAACTAACAGATTAGAGCCTAACTGATAAATTCTGGAAATGCCAAGCTGAAGATTTCAAAGTTTATTTAAAAAGTAGTTTACTGATGTGATTCGATTCTCAAACTGGGCAAGGGGGTGGATTTAGTCAGTTCTTAGATTCTTAAATGTGTTTGTGGGTTTTGTTTTGTTTTTTTTGGTTTTTTGTTTTTATATTAGTCACACATTATATTCAACCCAGTTACGATACTGTTTCTTGTTTTTCTGTGTTCTACTTGCGCTGCTTTTCATATAGATAACATCTATAATGTATATCAGTAATCACAACCTGCAGAAGTGAGGTGCGTTCTCAGAAGTTAAAAATGAGCAGTGTGAACTGTTTTGCAGTAGTAATATGAAAAAGCAGCAGTGTTTCGACTGCGTTTGAGCTACTTTTTGCCTATTACTACAAGCACCATGCCACTCGGAGCATGTACAAAATACAATCCAGCCCGCTTGTTCACTCGTGAGTAAAATATTGTTAGCAGGAATAGCACGCTCAAAACTGAGAGAAAGGACCAGCACCTGTTAGAATAATGCAAAATCATAGAGTACTAACACTATACAATGCTTTCTGCAGAAGGTGATTTCACTGCAGAATACAAAAAACTTTTTCCTTTTTTTCTTTTATTACTATTATTTTTTTTAATGAGTATGCAACACATTGCTAAAGTTTCAGAATGAACCATTTATTCCCCAGTCTATACAGTCCATATATGTAAACCAAGCTGTAAAATCAGCCTATTTTGAATTCGTTGTTTCTGTGACGTGACTCTTTTTACCTATATCCACCCTTTCAGCCTACAGCAGTTTAGCTCCGCCCATTCACGCTGAAGTTATAAGGAGTGTTTCAGCAGATACTGAACATTTGAAGCACTCTGATCAGATTGGGGGCAAAATAAATAGTTGTCCTCCCACACAAATTCTAAAGATATGTTATTTGGTGAACATCAGTATTTGCAGATCTTATAAGTCATTGGGTGTCCAGCTGTTATCAGTGGCTGGCGTGGTTGCATATTTCCAACAAAGCAGGAGGACACACGATCAATTGTTTGAAGACGGAGCAATTGGTTTAAAGTTTGAATCCGGTCTGTCTGCTTGATTGGAAAACCTACAGCCATGACAGCCCTCTGTGTATAAGATTCGAAACCACTGACTCATAAGTTAATCGATAGTGGTCTGCTAAATAGTCATGTCTCAGTTTTCTAGCTGGCTTTCATCTACAGCTGTTCTTCTAACCCATGTGTTTCTTAGCTGGTGACACCAGAGAAGTATGAGGTGAAAGGCTCAGTCCAAGAAGCTGCCATCATCCTGACTTCCTGTGCTGAGCCCAAGATGCAGGTGACCATCACGCTGACCTCGCCAGTCATCCGAGAGGAGAATCCCCGGGACGGAGGTTGGGAAAGACGTTGCTCCCTTAACTCGACCACCTATCAAATTAATTTGACACGTTGATTTGACACCCTTAAGAGCCCATCTGCTGGCACCAAAGAGATGCTGTGTGATCTGAATAATATCGCATTATTTTTGAGCATCTTTTGAAATGGATTATCTTTTTGCTCCTTTTCCTGTGGAGAGTAAAATTAATATAATGTGAAGTATAAAACCTGGTATGTGCTTGAGCTTGGTCACAATACCATAAATGGAAAGAAACTTGAGTGCCTTCAAAAGCCTTGGAAATTAAAATTCAGTTACACGTTTAGCTTATTTAAATTCTGGAAGCAATTTGCTTTTTCTTTTTTGCAGTGTATTTCACTCATAATTTGATTATTTTAAGAGCTGAGCATACTAGAAAAAGCTGAACATGTCTGGGAGAGATATTTTGAAGGCAGTTATTACTTATGAAATAGATTTACCGTTCAGTCAAATGTCACCTGTTTGTATGGTGTGGTCATTCTGATTTGTTGTAGGCATAGTGGCCTTTTGACAGAGCCGAGTTCGCCACAACCAGGTTTTATTTAGCCTGTTACTGAACTAATTGCCAGCAGTGCTGCTCAGGGCCCTCTCTTTGTAACACCTCTCCAGTGCTCTTGAAGCTCTCCCCAAAACAAGCATGATAAGTGTTTTTGCATTGTGTCAGTCTAGTTAGTCTTGAGTAAGATTCATTTTTGTTTCCTGTGTCCCAGGGGATTCTTTACATGTATATATTTAAATAACCAAGGGATTATATATTTTTAAAAAGACTAGGGATCATGTAAATAAACAAGCATTAAAATAGTGCTGCGTGAAATGAAGTAGGGAAACGGTGGGAAAGTATATATTGTCCCCACAGGAAACAAATGTTTTTGTCTGGTGATGAGAAGATTCACCATTCTGAGGTCCCTTGTTCCAAAATGAAAGTGCTCCCCTGAGTGAATCAATCCTCTGTGCAATGAATGATGTGATTGGTTTATAGCTTCAAAGATTGTTACTAATACTCTCACTGTAGAAACCAAAACCTCTGTATCTGAGAGTGGAAAAATGGGGGAAAAAATGTAAGGCAGTTTGGCTCAAAGTTAACTTGACAACCCTTCCTTGTCTTGACGTTTTTTGACAAAGGAGAGTTTAATTAGGTAAGAGCAGCCGAAATGATCTCAAACGTGGGCCGCAAGTCTCTGCTCTGATAGGTCACTGTTCCTGTTTGGATCCTTAGGGGAGTATCAGTAAGCTTTTGGGAGGAAGGCTTTGTTAGAGGAATCTTTGGTTGGACCTGGGTTTTTACAGCCTTCGGTATACAATGACCTAAGGGGGGTTTTCCCAAACCCACTCATGACAGGTATGCATGCAGTGATGTCCTAACCCCTCTTGCTGGGAGCTTCATGTTTTCTTTCCAGCACGCATTCCTGCCTTCATGTATCCAAAGCTTTTTACACGTCCAGCCCAAAGCCTCCTTGCGTTCTGAATAACTCGTTTCCCATCTGAGGCTACGTCTACCAGCTCCGGAAGGATTTTTGACCAAGGTCCCCCTCCCAAACCCCCCCTCAAACACTTTGCCACACCTACCATTGCCATGCCACTGCAGTGGGTCACACAAAGCACTCATCATCTACAACAGACATTCTACATCTTCTTTGCTGTGCCCCCTTTTTGTGCCGCACTCAAGAATTATAAATGCAAAGCCATAGCAGCCCCTCGTCATCCTACACTTACCGGGGAATTAAACCGATTTTTCAACATGTCTGCATAATTCAATCGTTGAGATGTAAACAAAGTCATTCAGAGTGGTTTGTTGTAAAATGCATTCTGAGAAAAATTACCAACTGAAATGTTTTGTAGAGCAACTTGCTGACACTAAATTCTTTACTCTGGTGCTGATAGAACCCAAGGATCGTACAAATATAGCCATTTTATTTACTATCCAAAATGACCAGTGAACCTACACATGTCTTGTGAGTTTTTCTATGTAATGTTGATGAAGGTAAAAGTGTTTAATCTGAAAAAAAAACAGGGATTGTTTTTGTCATATGTATGTCTCTGCTATTAATGAATTCAATATTTTAGGCCTAAACCTTCTTAAAACCATCATAGAACACTGTCCCAAGTATCATGCAGTGCATTTATAAACATTTAATATAATAACTTTATGTGAGGTAAATTTCAGTGTTTAAATTCGAATTCTGTTTCGGTACATTTTGTGTCTTCCACACCAGGCCAATCTGAATGACTTTGTTTACATTTTAACCTTCTAATTTATCGCAGTCCTCTTGAAAAAAAGGTGGAATTCTCCTTTCAGGAGAAATAAAGTATAGTTCTTTTATAAGGGGCCTCTCTAAATTTCATAATTTCATTTTTCATAACTGAAATGAGTCTGTGAGCAGGTAGATGCTGCTTACAGGTAGAGTAAGTGGGCCAAAGAATCGAACTAGCATCCAATGCTAAATCTGTACTTGTGTCAAACTACAAGGAGCAAACAATATCAAGATGTGACCGTTTTAGGTGTGTAAGCTTTGAGTTTAGTATTTATACCCATATATATTTATTTAAGTTAATGTCAGCATTTACATTTAGACATTGTAGATGTTGGCAGTTTCAGCTTCTGAAAGCCAGAAGTTTTAGTAAGTGTGATGCTGTGTGAATTACGCCCTTCCTAATGCTCAGTGAAAACTGGTTTTGGTATTGACACATGCATATTTACAGCAACCCTGGTCAGTTGATTGTTAGCATTTGATGCTAATTTGTTTCACTGAGCTCCCAACCAATTCAGAAGTTGGATTATTGTGCACTATTCCAGAAACAGCTGTAGTTGTTCAAAAATGATGAAATTATGAAATTTCTATTGGGCCCCTCAAGAAAAGCTGACCCCGAAGTTGGCAAGAAACTGCTTAGTAACTCTCAATACAGACACATCAGTACAGTGCTAATTTATTGAGTGCATTTCCAGTGGTTTGGTTTTAATTTGAATGCAGTAACCATTAAGACAGTGGCAGAGATAATGTGCAATATCACTTATTCAGAATGGCTTCCTCTGCTATGAAGGTTCTGTAGCTAATGCAGTATTTTGGATTGATCAAAATATCCTCAAAGCAATTGAGAACTTTCTCCCTCATAATCATCCCCTCATCCTACATTTACAAGTCTATCAGCGCTACACTTCAGTCTAATACTACGACTCTTCCTTCTAGTGTCAGTATAACAAATATAGTGCCAGTATAGCAAGTATATGCAAGTTGTTGGTTTACAAAACTGATGAATGACTCAAGGTGGAAATGCAGTTGTATGAGTAGCTAAGAAAGAAATCGAGGAAACAACTTGGTATGTGTGGCAATGTGTTCTTGGCAGTCTCTCTGACCTGGTCAAACACCCATTCCTCACCACCATTTGACAATTCGATCCATTTTTAGATGTAACCTCGGGTATGGTGAAAGACCCAGCGGACGTCTTGGACAGGCAAAAATGCCTTGACGCTCTGGCTGCCCTACGCCACGCTAAGTGGTTCCAGGTTCGGAACATCATTTTTCTTTCTTCATGTAGCCTTATGAGATGCATTCTTTTCATTTGCTTATTTAATTTTAGTCTTAATTTTTTGATTTGTTGGAATTTTTGAACCTCAACTATTTGTATGGAGGCTAATGAGGAATACAAGGATGCTAACAGTAATATAATTAAATAACCAGGAACTTTTAAAATGAATAATCTGCTTTTTTATGTTTGCTATTCTTTTCTGGTCTTAAAACTCTAAGCATCCTTGCATACATTTTAATTTTCTTAAGAATATGTAAATAATGTGACATTTTATTAAAAAAAAAATATATATATATATATACATACTATTCCATAAGGCTGCAGAATACCTTTGCATAAAAATGTCATCAATAAGAGCTTTCATGTTGACCGTTTGTTCTTTGTGATTGTTTATTTGTTTTTATTTATTTATTTATTTTTCTTTAGAATAGGAATTGAGAGGAAAGGAATATCTGATTAGTTTACTGTGTGTGAAGTCGCTGTCTTGAACACACAGGCAAAGTAAAGCAGATTTCCTTGACTGCTTCAGTTCCTATGCTACTCTTTCAGACTGATGTTTTTGTAAATGAGAGCTTTTATTTTTTTTTGATTGAAGTATTTTTGGAAAGCTGAGGTCAGGGTTTACAAGATGACCAAGGAGACATTCTGAGTGCATCTTGCAAACTTTGAGCTCCTGTACTAACGACGAGGTAAAATACTGCTGGGAATGGCAGCTTATTCATAAGCACTGGCTAAAAAGTCTGTAAACTAAGTAAAAGCTTCCATTGTGAACAGTAGTGTTGCACCTCTTTCGGAGCCCCACCATGTCGTATGATTTGCAAATGTTTGTTCTTGTCACTAACTAAACTTGGCTTTATTGCACTGAAGGCTAGAGCCAATGGACTCCAGTCTTGCGTGATTGTTATTCGTATCCTGCGTGACCTTTGTCAGCGAGTACCCACCTGGTCTGCTTTTCCAAGCTGGGTGAGTAAGAAGACAGTGAGCTGATATTCTTTCAGGATTGTTAAGGCCTTTACACACCAAGCGTGATTTATTTGTGCAGTGTTTTTGATGCAGGAAGGTGTTTAGTTAGTAGAAATTTTAAGCAGCGTATACATGACTTAACATAATGATTTATTATCATTTGGATTTTAACTTTTTATTTTAATTTGGAAAATTTATATGAAACAGAATGCATCATAATGTGGCGATGATTATATACAAATCAAACCACTGATGCACATGCTGCTCACTCTGCGATACTGCTTTTGGATTAACTTTATGTGAATGAACTGAGGTGGCAGCCAGTCACATTGTTGATTTGTGGCACCATAACCGATTTTGTCATACCGATTGTGTCACTGCTATAGTCACATGCTGAGAGTTTTGAAAAATATGCTAAATCAAGTTTGGATTGGACATGGGAAACATTCACTGTGTCCCTGTGCTGGACTTTGGGTATTCTAAAGGATTTGGGGCAGATCACTGCCTTAAAGGACTGTCTGTAAAATGTATGGATGTTGAACAATAACAGTGTATTCTCTATCAAAGGCCATGGAGCTGCTTGTGGAGAAGGCAATCAGCAGTGCCTCTGGACCAATGAGCCCTGGTGATGCATTGCGACGAGTCTTTGAATGTATTGCCTCTGGCATTCTGCTCCCTGGTAAGACCATAATCATAGACCAACCAGTTTTGTAACACTTAAAACATCTGAAGGTTTATAAAACATTACATTTAAGTTAACCTATGACCACAAATTAGGACAAACTTAAACATGAGGGATTAAGAACACCCTATGAAAACTTCAAAAAGGTTCTAAAAACAAGGTGTGTTTAACAAATTTGGGTGTATATTTTCATTTGTTTGGTGACCCAACAAGTCTGTTACACTTTGCATTCAACAAAGGTTAGCAGAAATGGAAGTTTCCAGGGTGGCAAGTGCAGTTATACTTCAGCTCCTACTGTTGATGACCTTTAGCAGAAATAATTGGGTTTTTCTTGTGCTTTTCTTTCGGCATTTCAGATTTCACTTGGATCTGAATTTTGACTTGGCTCTTCTTGTTGTCTATATTTAAGGTTTTGTACCGTCATGTTGCGAAACTCTATTTTAGTTAGAATTTAGCGTTTTAACAGATGGCCTCATGTTCTGCCCTGATATGTTCTGGTGTGTTTGTAATTCATAGTTCATTCTGTCATACAATAGCAAAGCACCTAGCCCTTGAAGCGTGCAACCCTAAAAACAACTGTGATTTATAGCTTCCGTTTTCTTTAGATCAAAGGCAGTTTTTGGTTTGTGGCAGCCTTGGGTATGTTGTTGGAGAACCCATACGTAGGTGCTCTCTTACCAGATCAAACAGAGTTTATTTTTGAAAGCAGAGGCTCCTTCCTGACCTCCTGTAGAAACCAAGCTCGCCTCTGACAGTTTTAGTCATGCACATTCATATTCGTAACAGACCTCTGATTCCTAGAGACTGGGCTCCTTTCAGTCAGAATTTTGATGACTGGACTTTGTAGTTTGTAGATAACTCACCACAGTGTGGTGCATTATCATTGTACTGTGGAATGGGTGAAATTGTAATCTCTCTTGGTTTTGGAATAAAATTACCACACAACTGCTGCATTAAGACTAAATCAGACCGATCAGATCTGGTCTCTTCGACTAGTCATTTAAGTATTTAGTATTTGCATCGATTTTGATGACACAAACTGTAGTCAGTTTAGGGAACAACTAAGTAGTGTTCACTTGTGTTTCAGGAAATTTCCATTTCTGCAAATTTATGTTGATAGTAAAACTTTAGAAAGGGATGGTCCTACTTTTTTTTTTGATAGGCTCCAGTAGAATATTTGTAGATGTTCTAATTATTAATAAACTGTCTGGTGAACACTGATGCTATTGACAGAGTTTAAGCTTAGGATTAGTGCTGGGGTTAGGTTTAGGACCGAAGTGAGGTTTTGGGTTGAGGTTAAGGTTGGGGAAAATTAAAGTGAACATAATAGATATTTAGCTGAATGTAATTTAAATGCTTGAATGCAGTTTAAATAAAGTGTTAACAAAGGGGTCCACGAGTGGTGCAACTGTCTTAGTGGTAGCCCTATTACCAGTTCATGAGCTTAAATCCCAGTGATGCCACAGCCATCTGTGGCGGTGAGTATGAGGGCATGCTTTGATTAGTTTCCATGACTTTTGTAGGAGCTAGCTGTAGTGTTTTGTGTTGACTTCTTCATTATACCACAAGCTGTAGTAAAAATTCCAGAAAGTGGGACCATGGCCTAATGTGCCAAAGATGACTATACTTTAAATGAATGTTTTAAGCCTGTTGCTTTTTGATGCAGGTGGTCCAGGATTGATAGACCCATGTGAGAAAAATCCCACAGACACACTGGCTGCTATGGAAGAGCAGCAGAGAGAAGATATAACGTCAAGTGCTCAGGTAAATCTATGCCCAGCATATACCCTCAGCTCAGTTAGCGTTATCATTTTTTGGAGCTGATAGCATCAAAGACATGGAAAAATTGTAAGAGGGATTTTTTTGGTAATTTACAAAATGGTACAGTTTTACCACACAGTGAGGTCTGGGTTATTCCATTCCAGCACATCTAGGGCCTGACAGGTCACACCATGAACTTCTTTGGGAAAAAAAATCAGACAAACATCTGTGTAATTCATGCAGCCAGATTCAATATTCTAAGTTTCCCACAAATAGTTTTCTAATCATGATTTTGTTCCCCTAAATCACTCCTTGAATTTAACTGATTACAGTTTGCTGGTATCTAACTTCTGTTTTTGAACTGAGCATAACTCCCACTTGTTTGAAACATTCAGAATCTCTTTCAGAGGCACCAGACAAATATCTTGTCTTATTGACTATCAAATAAATTTCCTAGCCATGAAGATACATAACATTTTACAGGGATTGTGCTTCCTTAGGATACATTGCCTCATTTGAATTTTGATTTCCAGCTGTTGGTGTCACTGACATTTTCAATACCCGTTTAAAAAAAATGAATAAATAAAATCTCCTGTTATCATGATGAAGTTCAGGATCTTTTCTGCACCTGGAATGTAGGAGACTGTTTTAATGTCTGGTAAGACAGGATTGTGGTTGGACTTCTAAGATGTTGTGCATAATTCACCACGAGACATAAACACATTACATCTTACAAAATAATTACTCCATCTTACAAAATAATTACGCAGCTCCATTTAGTCAGATAATAGCATTGCGTACATTGTTGAACTGAAGGTTTTAAGATGAGAATTGGTCCCCATATACAGGTTTTGGCTTGATTTGTGTGTTTTAAATGGAAACCCATGATATGACCTGCATGACCCTAGGCAAGTAGGCATATAAAAACCAGTCTGCTCTAAATAGTTCTACAGTTTGACCTCTTAAACTAGAATCATGTCATCGGTTTGCATGTAGTTTAGGAGAACCAGTGTTGACATTCTGCTGTTTGTTTCTGCAGTTTGCCTTGAGGCTGCTGGCATTCCGTCAAATTCACAAGGTCCTGGGCATGGACCCCTTGCCTCAGCTGAACCCACGCTTCAACATGCGGAACAATCGCAAGAGGCGGCGCGACAACAGCGACGGCACGGATGGCTTCGAGGGCGAGGGGAAAAAGGACAAGAAGGATTACGACGGCTTCTAAACTTCCGCAAACTCCGCAGACTCGCCGTTGGCCATTTCAATATTCTGTGTATTCCAGTGGTGCAAAATTCAATTCCTGTAGGTCTCTGTGCATGCCAGTAACTTCTCCAGAAATCTTTCAGTGGCTTGTAAAAAGCCATTCGCTGAGCGTCACTTTGGCTCTCAGCTTGTCTACTCGTGCCCTTAAAGGACCTACGAAGGCAGCTTGGGAAATGCTTAGCTGCATTTCCATGACATACCGTGATTTGCTAAAGCGTTTAGCACACGCAACATTATGCTGACACAGAGAGAAGGAGCTGGTGATCAAATGTGCTCCAGTCATTCATGGTTTTTAAAGCTGGTATATAGCTTTCAGACTTTGCGCGTGCTGATTGAATTAGCAAATCTTAGGATGTTTGTACCCTCTGGAAACACTAGCCTGCTAGTCTAGTGGCTGCTTACTTTCCCATAAGAAGAAATGGACCTAAAAGCGCACATGTTAAAGCTAAAGTAAATAAGTCAGAAATAATGAAGGTCCTGCTGCATTTGAAATGAAACTACGTTAAATCTCAATCTGATTTTTTAAAAATCTTTCTTTCCCTAGTCTGCTAGCGTAGCATGCGCTAAGCTGCTCATTTTGTTTTAGAGCCAAGTTTGGCAACGTATTGAGCTAAAATATAACTGTGCCGGTTAGGAACAGACTCTGACATGGCCACTGTTTTAAATTGCTATGTAAAAACTTACGACGAGGACTTTAAGCTTTGCAATGTAATGTGCTCTAGGTTTTTTTTTTTTCCTTTTTCCTTTTTCCTCTTCTTTTGTAATCATTTGTTTTGAATGGAGACATTCCTCATAACCACAAAACCTAAGCTAAAATGTGACCCAGTTGTACGTTTGTCGTGTTGTGATGAATGTGACAACGTTGACTGAACATTTGAAGCCTACAAGCATGTGTTCCGTAGTGCTAATACATCCTGGGGGATCGGCTGTTTGCTTTTAGCCGTTCGTAAAGCACATCCTTGGCTAATCAGCAACCACAATCAGAAGAAAAACGTATCCCTAACCTTCTCTTTATATGAGTAACGCAAGGTTGTGCGACGCTGAGCTTGTTCAAAGGCTAGACTCCAAGTGTGTTTTCTAATTTTCACAGGCTTGTGTTGCATTTCTAAAGACACTGATCCCTGAGAGTAGACTTGGGTCATATTACTTATGAGCTGCACCTTCTCAGAGTTCTGAAGTTGTCATTCTGTAGTCGGCTTTATGCCCATATTAGGAACTGAGGGTCTAAGCCGATTTTCTCTATGAGAAAAATGAATGCTGCTATCGCACCCTGTGGTAAAATGACCCAAAAATGTTCCAAACCTGATGCGTTTTGTCATAGGGAACTCTTTCTTCTAATCGCTGGATGATGAGGTCGTTAAGGAGCTAAAATGCTAGTGTTGTTATATAGAAGCTAATATTGCTGCACACTGAATTGAATGGCAACCTCACAAGAAAACCCCATGCAAACCAGCAAGCTTTAGGAGGTGGGTGAGGTGGGTGTACACAAGACAAAATATCAGGTTTGGAACATTTTAGTTCACCACAGGGAAATTTTCAAAAAGACACTTCATTTCTCTCATAGAGAAAATCTGCCTAGACCCAGAGGTCCTTATATGGGCATGACACACAGTTTCAAAGGTCTGTTCTTTTCATATGTTGAACCTAACTATCAGAATAGGTCAAAGCATTGCGATGAAGACCACAGCAGTTTGCATAAGACCATGATCTTCTGCATTTTTTTTTAATTAGATTTGCAAAGGAAGTGATTCACCCTGAAGGCACTGTTGGTTTCTAAACAGAGAGCAGTGTAGTTGTGGTTGACCCAAGTCTGCCTGAGCTTTTGTGTTCATAGTGTTGTAATCCCTGAATCCCTAAATGTATCTGTGTATATATACATATATGATCATATGTAGCTACGTGTAGGCTATGTGTGATCTCTAATATATGACCATTAAAAAGCCAATATCTAATCCTGCAATAGGTCTTCAAAAAAAAAAGTTTGTATAATTTTATGAAAGCATGGCAGTGTTTAAGTTCTGTTATTGTTTTATAGATTTTTGTTCCATCAGTTTATAGATGAGCATCTGCTTGCCGTTCTCCTTGGTTTAACAATCCCTAGTTTGTTGAAAATCTATTGAAGAAAAAAAAAACATTGGAGGAAAGTGTTATGTCGGTGTTGTAATTGCGGATGTAGATCTATCCTTTCAGTCGCCTGTCATTCGCTGTCACGGTACTACTGCATAACAATGGACATAATAAAGACCTTTACAGAACCAGTTGCCTTCTTTTGGTTTTCCACTGAATGTAGCATTCCCTAGCATGTTGTTCAAGGAGAGGAAGGATGTGCAGAGGCACCATCCGGACTGCTTACACTGGCAATGGACAGGAAGTGACCATTACTAACTCCTGAAATGAAAAATGATCCCCAGTAGCCCTATTATTAGGGGACTCTCTTGAGTAAATGTGTTGTATCCTTAGGCAGGGCCTGTTCTCTGAGTAGTGTCAGAGTTATTGAGCTGTAGAAGCCTTAAGGACAGGCCAGCTCGGAAAAACGGTTTGAATTTAGAGTATTGCTTCTTCCGTTCTCATTTATTAATATAGACAAAACTATAGAGTATCCAGGCCACTGGTAGAGTGGCTTAATTACCCAGGAAAGGCTTGAAAAAGATTAGAAAGCCTGTAATTGACCAATGTCCAATTACAGTGTTGGCAGAAAAATGGCTCTCAATTAAAGGGGAATTCCATACATTTTTCAAAATCTCTGTACAATTCAACTAAAGCTATTTAGTCAGATTTCTGGTGTGGTGGTAAGGGGGTGGAGGGGCTGCTTTCACTTAAAATGCCCTACATGTGCCTGTCTGCCATGAATGGCTTTTTACATTTTAATCCAAAACCCTACCACAAAAATATGGAAAGACTATCTCTGGTAATAGGTAAGGAGTTTGTAACCCTTTCATGTAATAACTTTTTGTAATCAACAAAACATGCCATTTGAGCCCACACTTTTGCATATGACTGTATAGTGCAACCCCACCACGACCCTGAAGGATAAGTGGTTTAGAGGATGTCTGTGTGTGTGTGTGTGTATAGTGCAAAATGCTGGGTATAAGCGTGTGTGGGAACAACTCAGTACAGTGTAGAATAATACAGTATGAAGTTATGATACTATGTGCAGATTAATGCAGTAAAAGATATGGTGTGTAGTAATACAGGTACTATAATAATCAGATAATGAAGATATTGTCACTGTTGACAAAACCTCATATCTCCGTAATGGTAACTGTACAGGAGAAGGAAAAACTTTACCTCTGAATGGAAGTTAAGGGAACAAACTCCTTTTGGAGCATTTCTATGGTTTCATCCATCTTTAAATGAACTCATAAGACCAGCTGGCATTTTCAAATTCTGCAAAAATAAAAAATGAAAAACAGGTTTTGGTTCTTTCCATCATGAACCATATGGTACTGTATGGACAAATCTCTCTAGACTGGATTATTTCACATCACACCACTCTGAATGAACGTTTGCGTCTTATTGATTTAATTATGCAGAAATTTAAATATTTGGAAAATCTGTGAAATTCCCATTTAAAAGGGGAACTCCACCCATTTTTCAAAATTCTACATAATTAAACTGTTGAGATGTAAACAAAGTCATTCAGATTGGTTTGATGAGGAATGCTCCGTTCTAGAGAAACTTGCTGAGTCAGATTTGTTGACAGTGGTGGTGATGGGAACCAGACGACTGTAGAGTTTAATGCCTTTGAAATCCCCTTCACAGAAAGTTATCACATGAAATGGATAGTTATCAAATGAAATGAAATATACGCTGCCTGATAGTTCATGGTAGTTTTGTGATAAAGTTTTAGTTTAAAATGTATTTTAACCCATGGCGGAGGGGTACATGTGAGGTGTGGTAAGGCAAAATAGTCCCAAAAGAAAACTATTTTTTTAGATTTATCATTGTTCTACCATCATCATTACATTAAAAACCCTCAGAAGACGCGTGTAGGTTCACTGGTGGTTTTGGACGTTTACATCTCAAGGACTCAAGTAGTCACAAATTTTGACAAATTGGTGAATTTTCCCTTTAAGGGTGTCGTTTTAGACCTACCGCGCTGTATTTGCTCTCCATTGAGGAAGTGGGCCGTGTGGAAGCTGAGATTTGATTGGCAGCCGAGTGAACCAAAGAAACGACTCGGCTCCTGAGAACATTGAGCCGAATGAATAGTTGACTATAAAGAGCCAATAATGTAGGACGGGCGCGGCTTAGTATCGAGCAGGTTCATCTCCCCCGCGGAAATTCTCCCACAGCACAGGGAAGCGTTTGTCGGAGCTTTTCCAGGTTTACACCTGGACCGGCTGCTGGACGGCTTTAACGGATTAATTAGCGCCGAAATGTTGAGTTTGGGAGGCGGAGGAGCCAAGTCCACCAAACCGTCCTTCGTGTCTTACGTTACGCCCGAGGTACTTTCAGCGCTGATTGTTCTGACACTAACAGAGCTGGAGTTTTAGGGAAAAGTAGCCCAGACTGGACTGGGAGGGGTTTGAAGAGGCGAGAAGCTGAACTCAGAATTTTCCCGTTCTACCTTAAGTGGTGCGGGAGTTACATTCTGGCGCCCGAGGCTGCCGCGGTGACTTCTGCTCCATTTAAGGTGGAACGGGAAAATTCGAACAAGGCTCTGGCGAATAGGAAGCCAACTTCAGCTCAGCCAGACATGGTTGACCGCTTTCGCTCAATTTTGGAGAAAAATGGAAGTCTGTTCTTAGCTTGAACTTTGACTTTACGGCGGAAAAGTGTCTTAGTGTCGCTGTTTAACGCGGGTTACAGAAATGTGTGAAACATTTAGGAAACATCTGAAAGTAAGAGGTTGTTTTCTGACGCGCGTGAAGTCTGAGGGCTGTAAACTGCCCGTTTGACCTCTGCCGAGTCTGTCGACGGACTTTCGGCCGGTGGTTGTTCATTTATGACTGACTTTGTAGCGGACAGTTAAAAACACGCAGAGAAAGAAACGCTGCGGCTGAATGTGGCTTCTTCATCTGCTTCATGTTTGACATCCATTCACTGGCCGCGCGCGTGCGCTTCAGTTCAGCGGGCACGCGAGGCTGGAGGGCTTTTTGTTTGTTTGTTTTCTCAGATTGTTTTCCTGGTTAATAATTTAATAATTCAGTGATGGAAGGCGAAACGCAACAGGAAGTTACTGTATTTGGCCAGGACGCTGTAGTTCTCACGGGTTGTCCTGTGGTCAACTTTGTGTACTCTCTAAAAAAGATGGTTCTTCAAAGCTTCTTTGGTAAAGAGAATGCTTCTGTTTAGAACCATGAGTTCTGTATAGAACCATTTCATGCTTAAGTGGTTCTTTACATGTTGAATGGTTCTTTAGGTTGATGGAGAACGTGTGTAGAGCTATTTTGAAAGTGGTTCTATATAGCACCAAAAAGGGTTCTTTTTTGGACCATTTAAGTAGGAAGTGGTTCTGCATAGAACTCATGGTTGTAAATAGAGCCTTTCCCTTCACTAAAGAACCTGGGAAGAACCATCTTTTTTAAGAGTGTAAAAATTGACCCTTTTCCTGTATGAATTTTTGAATTCTGTGTGGAAAACTGGATTTTGAGAATGACCTGACGCTGTTAAAGAGGACTTCCGCCAATTCTTTCAAATTCAATAATTCAACAAAGTCATTCAGATTGGTTTGATGTGAAATGGTTCATTGTAGAGAAACAGACTCAGATGTCTGTGCAGTGGTGCTGATAGGAACCAGGGGTCTCAATGTCTAGAACACAAATGCAGCCATTTTATTTACTATCCAAAACCACCAGTCAACCTACATGAGTCTTCAGAGTTTTTACAATATTGATGATGAAAAAATGTTTTATTTGTGTACTAATTTACCTTACAATACTCTGCATGCACCTCTCTGCCAAAAATAGATTTTAAAAAATACACTTTATGCCAAAGTCTTATCTCAAAACGATCATAAAACAGTTTCTTAGACACCAGGCAGCATATTTGTAAGTGTTTTGTGGAATATGTTTCTCTGGGAGAGCTTTAAGCGGCATTAAAAGTTTTGGATGTCTGGTTCCTATCACCATCACTGTGAACAATTCTGACTCAGTAAGTTTCTCTGAAACGGCACATTTACCATAACAACTCTGAAAGACTTCTTAACAGTGTAATTAGGCAAAGTTTTGAAAAGCTGGTGGAATTCTGTGAGAGATTGTAAATTGGCATCATATTGGTTATCTTAGCAATAAACTCAGTATTGAAGCGGTGCTGAAGTCATTCAGCTGTAGAGGTGGCTGCCTCAGCTTAGCTTTCATTTACTTTACGTTTATGAGCCTCACTCTCATCTCAACTAAAAGTATTGTTACTTGAATTAAATAATGACTCTCTATTAGAGTAAAGTTGCAGTTAATAGGGTCACATCAAACAATGTTACCTAGAGAACTGCAGTGGAACTATCTACTCTTTACCCTCTGTCAACATAAGAAGTTTGTTAATCTCTTTTTAGGCTTATTTTATCTGAAAAAGCTTGATTAACGGATTAGGAATTAAATGTAAAATGTAAAAAGAAATGTAGACATAGCCTAAAGGCAAAAGTATTATCATTTGAAACTGCCCAGAGTAGTACAAATACTAAAAATAACTTTCTTAAATGCATGTAACTGAGCAAATGTAACTAATTAGAACCCACCTGCACTCTGTTCAGAGTACCTGACTCAGCTCTATTCTGAGAAATGCATCTCTTTCTGTTTTGTCCTATAATTATAGTTGTTGTTAGCTATCATGTAGCTGTATTCGTTGTTAGGTACTGACTCAGCAACTGCTCTATGTCAGCCTTGGGTGAAAATCAAAATGACAGTGTGACTTGACAGTAAACAGAAAGTCTTTTGTTGTCTTATACTTATTAGAAAAGAATGTGTTCTGTCTGTCTGAAATGCCATTGTTGTGTTTTTTCTACAGGAAATAAAATCTGAGAAGGAGCCACCAAAGAAAGAGAGGCATCCAGACTTGCTACCAGGTGAATGAGCAAAGTCTATAAATATGTTTTGCCTTGTTCATCTTTAATGAACGACCTAAAGTATTAGTTAACTGCAGAATTTTTGTGAACTTTTAAGCTGTTTGTGTGCTTCAGGCTTTTCGTTGTGCATCTTATTGTTGCGAGGTTTTTGTCAGTTCCTCTAACTTGTACTTCCTCCCATGGGGAACGTGTTTTTTGCCTGCAGAGGAAACCTCTCTGCAGATTGATCTTTCATATTATTAGTGTTATTACAGCCTCAGTCATAACTTAGTTTTAAAATTGAGCTTACAGTAGAGCTGGGTGAGACTTTGACATGTTTTCAATACACGTTATGCATCATCATTTTTTTCTGAAGTTGGAACAGACAGAAAAGAATCAGTGGTGCCACATCCTCTGCATTGAATTCAACATTTCATCCTCTGCACTGCACTAAATCTGATTAAACGGGCCTAATTGTGCTTTCTTTCTAAAGAAACATGCACTTTTTCAAAGGGCCTGTATCCTACATTTTTCCTGCACTTTATTCCCTCCACCCCATGGTCCACTTACGTTTCTTACATTCATGGCAGTTGGCAGACACTCTTATCTAGAGCGCCTTACAGTTTGATCAGTTTACACAGGTAGGTGAAGGTAGTGTTAGGAGTCTTGCCCAAGGACTCTCATTGGTATAGTATAGTGTAGGGTGCTTGCCCAGGCTGCAGTGTAGAAGGCTGAGGCGTTACCCACTACACTAATAATTTAGATTTTTTTGTATATTTCTATTTACCAAAAACATCATAATACATTTTCATATGAGAATTTTCAAACCTTTCTTTATCCCTTAGAATTAAACAGGATTTCCAGGCTGAAATCCTCTGTAGAACTTCAGCATGAATGGCTGGAGCTAAACAGCTTTGTAGGTACAATAGGGTTACACATGTAAATGTGTTGGTTTTTTTGTGACATCACAAAAACAATAAACTCAAAACAGGCATAGTATCCATATATGGACTGTTTGGGCTGTGGAGTGAATGGTATGTTTTTAAGTTTTATACTACATCAAGCTCTTATTACAATTAAGAGATTTAAACATTTTCCACAGCATGGGCCCTTTAAGTATTTATAGTTTGCTCAGAGAAAATGTACTGTGGCACAGTAGGATAATATTTATTGTTATTATGGTGAATTAGATTGTACTGGGCATTGCTGAGAAACTATACTAGAGGAAACTATTTTGATTCAAAGCTAGTGTTGATATTGTTGCTGTTGTTTTGAATTGTTATTCTAAATAATCATAAACTGAGTCAGATTGTGGTTATTTCTGAAAACGTTGTTGCTGTTCATCTCCAGGGGAAGTGATATTCTGCAGTGCGGACCCCGTCCTCAAACACACTCAAGATGACCTTTCTCAGCGAGGAATCTTCGGCACACTTCTCTGCACCAACTTCCGTGTCTCTTTCGTTAGTGATGAGACACCGTTGGAGGACATGGTAAGGACATGTGACAAGGTTTTGCATAAGATTTTTAGTGATGCATTATAATGTAGTTGCCGTATAGTGCTTCAATTTGCCATGCTGATACAGGATCAGTAGCAAGTATGACAGTGGACTAACTACCCCTCCTTCTGCATGAGCAGGCCCACTTTATGACCTCTAGCAAATTCAAGAGAGAACGTAACGTTTACTGTCATAGCAGAGCTGCTGAACACATTTAATTTGATACAGTGGTTTCTGTTTGTGCTTGGCACTATTTAGGGATGAACCTATACCTCTTATACATCAAAATCACAATTTGAAAGAGTGCAATTTTCAGATTGAACAGCTGCAATTTTAATGACAAAAGTTATATAATGTAACTTTAAGTGTAGAAATTTAACCTAATAACACAGAGATTGTGAACTGGCAGTCTACATTCAGCATTCAAACCTCAAGCCCCAAAAAATGCATGTGCTGGTCTTCTTAACAGTCGCATTTAAATTGCAGTATTGAAAAATGAGAATTATATATTTTCCCCAAATCATTCAGCCATGATCTAAATTCATTATTAGTTGATATTGGTAGGGAAATGCTTAATTATTTCCATCCATTTGTAATTTCAAATTTATTGAATCTGACCAAAAGGTCTGATAAGTGAGAATACCTTGTAGGTGTGTTGTAAGCCTTGTGCAGGTTGTTAAAATTTTATTGAGCAAAGTGAGTTTATGTCCATTGAAACCTTTGCACCTACAATGCACTTCTAGCAAGCAAAGCAGCACATGATTTAACTTGTTATTGATTTTATTAAGTTATGTACCAGCTGTCTTCACATTTAGTACTTTCTAATCAGATAGCAGTTTAATCCATATTACAAATGGTGTTTTAAAATTGGGTCATTACAAAGCTGGATTCATAAAACAGTGAAGTATGCAGCATAAGACTAAACATATTATACACTGATACCAAGTACAACATCTAGATATTGAAATGCACTCAGTGACCACGTTATTCGGAACTTGCACAGAGTACACTTCCTCAGTCATACAATTATCCAGCCAGCCAATCGTGTGGCAGTGAATAAATAAAATCAGGTAGGCAGAGTTTCATTTAATGTTTACATCATATGTCAGAATGGGGTAAAAAAGTGATCTAAAATGCTGCCTCTGAGCAGAGATCAGATAAGCATATCTGTACACACAAGACCTCCAACCCTGAAGTGGATGCTGTACAGCAGCAGAAAACCACATTAGTTTTCACTCTTCGATAGTTGAAGATTGGACAAATGTCACCTGATCTGAAGAATCTCGGTTTCTGCTGCGACATGCAGATGATAGGGTCAGAATTCGGAGTAAACAGCCTGGACCCAACCTGCCAAAAGTTCAAGCCAGTGGTGTAATGGTGTGGCAGGTGTTTTCTTGGCACACATTGGGCCCTCTAATACCAACTGTGCATCGTTCGAAGACCACAGCTTACTGAATATTGTTGCCTTGACCATGTGCATCCATTTATGGCCACAATTCACCCATCTTCTAATGGCTACTTCCAGCATGATAGTCTGCCTTGTCATAAAATACAAGTCATCTCAAACTGAAAATGACACCGTGTACTTCCGTGTACTTCAGTGATCTCCGCAGTCACCAGATCTGAATCCATTACAGCTCTTTTGGAATGTGGTAGAACTGGCGATTCACAGCATGAATGTGCAGCCCACAAATCACAGGAATTACGTGATGCAATCATGAGAGCATGGACCAGAATCTCTAAGGAATGTTTCTAGTAACTTGTTGAATTCATGTCACATAATTAAGGCTGTTTTTAGAGCAAATTATTGCTCTAAAACAGTGGTCTCCAACCCTGGTCCTGGAGAACTATCTTCCTACAGTGTCTAGTTGTAACCTGCAATAAACATGGAGACCACTGCTCAAAAATAATGCTGTCTCTAAATCAGGGGTGCACAACTCCGGTCCTGGAGGGCTGGTTTGGTGATTTCCCTGCTCAAAAACACTTAATTCAACTGATTTGTTAATTGCCAAGTTTAGTGGGTGTGCTTCAGTGGTGGGACCACCAAACTGTGCTGGACACCAGCCCTCCAGGACCGGAGTTGTGCACCCCTGTATTTCTTTTATGTATACAAATCTAGTCTGCATGCGAGGCAACTGTCAAAGAGGAACTGTGCTGGGGAAACCACTTTTACTTTAAGTGCCATTTCAGGAACTTGAGTGTCTGACTCATGGGTAGAACTGCGGTGAGAAACACAGCCACTGTTTAAGCAGTCTAGGGTACTGTGAGCCTGTAATAACTAAAATACCACCCAAAAAGGGGGAACATACCAGACAAAGTTTTTTCAGGGTCAGTTTTACTCTTAGCATTTGCTGATTAAGGTTAGTTTGGACTCTGTAGCACTATACAGTATGAACAGAATGGTATTGCGATTATATTGCCATGAGAAAAACAAGAGAGGCCAGGTCTGCGTCCACCAGACAGTTCCTGTGTGGATGTTTTAGACCTCAAAACAAAACCAAACTGGCTTTGTTTCTCCTGTTGTAAAAGAGCCCAGTAACCAATATGCAGACATGTAGTTAACATAAACAGGATAGACACATGAAGAAAAAGTAATCAATGCATTGAAAGGTATGTTTTACAGATCTAACTTGCTGTAAAGCCATAAAAATAGCAATAAACGGAAGAAACGGATGAGATGTTAAGGAGAAAAGAGTGAAAAGATAAAAGGTAACCATACTGTGATGCTGAGATTTGTTGATATTTGTGTTGCTAGTATGGCTGCAGTGGGAGTTGGTGTGGAGGAGCTAACAGAGGAGGAAACTTATGGGAATTTTTAAAACACTTTTTACAATTATATGTTTATTAACTGTGAAAATTGTAAATAATGACAAATATAGTAGATTTACTGAAAAAATGGAAGATTATATTAATATTGCAAACCATAATTTTGCTGATTAGCTGCTTATAAAACAGATGCTGTAAATTACAAACAGAAGTAAAAATAACTTAAGTAGAAATTTAAGAAGCAAAAAAGCACCAAATAAAGCCATCGTATGCCTTCAGTTTATTACTGATTGCCAGTCCCCAGAGCTGCTTGTTCATGTGATATGTTGATTTGCGTGATTCAATGTATGAGCCAGTCAGAAAATCATTTCTGTTGACTGGTTGAGAGGAAATGGTGCAATGAACATGAAGAACGATTGGCCTGCATTACTTGATTGATCACTTGAACACTTATTCATCAAAACACCCACAGAAATGCTCATCTGGAAGGTTTGTGATTTACTCACAGTGTACAATAAATAAATTGTGATTTAGGCCCATTTGCATATTGCGGCTTTATGCACGATGGCTATTGCGATACTAATATTGCTGTAATGATAAACAGTGATAAACATGATAGATTGTTCAGCCCTAGTTTGAACTTGCACTTGTACTCCATATTGAATTCTCTATTATGTGTGATAATGATGATGCTTGAACGTGCTTGTTCAGTACTAGCTTAGGCTTCTTTTGTCCTGAAAGACTTCTGTTACTTTTCATAACAAGCTGTTTCCCCAGTATTTTCCATGCTGGTCAAGGCCATGATGGCGTTCGGGCTAATTTGTGCGTTTGTAGTTCTGCCAGAGATGGTACAGTAAGATGAAGTGTTAGTGGGGTTTCATTTGATATGATAGCAGGGGCAAAAAGCAGGAAGTACAGTCAGTGTTCACAAACAACCGAGTGGTGTGAAAATAGAAACAGTGTACTAAGCTTGGCGGCAGGAAATGTCCACACTGTGTGAACACAGATAGTGAGTTCACTGAGCTGTTTCACTGCAACAGAATCATTTGTTTAACACTGCACAGAAGCATTGTTCATTGTCTGTCAGTGTATCTGTCACTGTTGCCCCATTCAGCATTGCACAGTCTTCCAAATGTGACCGTGTGCATTGTGGAGAATGGACATTCTGATAATTACAGCTTTAGATGCAGTTGCATTGTTTAACGCCCAAGTTCGCAAACAATGTTTGCTCACAGCAACTCGTATCAGCTTATTCATTAGTAACCTGCGTAGGGCTGGCCTGAACAGCATTTTACAGCTTTGAATACTCACTACTATTTCAGAATGAGCACTTGTACTCCCTCTCAGAATTGCCCAGAAGATCTTTTCACAATTAGAATTATTTCGAAGGTCCCTGATTTTTTTGAACAATGCATTTATTTTCTTTATTGTTTTTTCATTTCCTTTATTTTTCTGATTACATATATTTCAGTGGAAATGTTTACTTTTAGACTGTTTTTCGCTATACTTATTTAAGGTGATTCATCAGACTTGTGCCTCCATGGTAGACCAACTTCGTATTACAAATGTCTCACTTTTGCTCCCACACGTGATTTCTTCTCAGGCATCTTACACTGCAGTTTGTTGCGCTCTGAGGCGAGTTGACATGAGTGTCTAGCGTGAACTTTAGATTCATTTAAATAAACAAGCTATGATTTATTGATTTTTATGTTTCATATCGCTGCTGTCGGAAGAAAACCTCATATCTCAGTTTTTGGCATAATCTGAAAATGCACTGTGTGTAAATTTCATGAAGCATGGACCAAATGAAATGGCCCACAATGACTTGGAAAAAAGTCTGATTCTGTTGACTTACATTAAAAGTAAAGCAGGTTTTTTCCTTTTCCTGTAAAGTTGTCTTTTCAGAGATGAGGTTTTCTTCCAACAACAGCCACGTATAAAAATATCTAAAATCTGAAGGCCTTTGCTGACAATTTATTTTATGCTATAATTTTGGTGGGGTAAAAAAGATGTTCTTTCCAAGTACAGAACTAAATACCATGTAATGAACAAATGCTTGAGTATTAGAGTGATTCGGGTCAGCTGTAAAGCTGTGCAACAATATGGGTACAGTTATCATTTTTCTTCATTCAAGAGAATATTCGTAAGAATATTCGTGAGGATATTGATTCATTGCATGAACCCAGTACGACTTGGAAAGACTGCTGTTTCACCCAGTGTCTCTTTGTTGCAGACACAACACTTCAAGAATAAGCTGTATGGTGAAAATGACATTCCTCTAATGTGTGTGGACAACATCTACGGAGGTGAACAGGCGCTAACTTGTTTATTGCTTCACTGAAGGTTTGTAATTAGTTATATTCTTGATGTTTAACATCTCTGTACATGCTCATCTCTTCTACAGTTTATGATGAGAAGAAAAAGCTGATGACTAAAGGCATGCTGAAAAACAAATGTCCATCCAAAATGATCATTCACTGTAAAGACTTGCGCGTCTTCCAGTTCTGCTTAACCTACACCAAAGAAGAGGATGCCAAAAAGGTGAATCAACCTACTTGTGAAGATTAAGATTTTGCAGTAATTCAGACTAAATCTAACTGGTGACGTTTTACTTTAGATCTTTCAGGGTATCGCCCACCACTGCCTGGAGCCAAAGTCTCTCAAGTGTGTCTTTGCATTTTCCTATGCTGTGTCAAGAAGTCCAGGTATGATATTGAATTGAACTTGTATGATACACTATCTTAAGTGAAACAGCTCCTTTCACAAGACTTTTTTTTTCCAACATACACAAGGCTTCAGAAGTTTGGATTCACTCTTTTCAATAACATTGTTGCATATAATATTTTTTAGATATTGAGGTACAAGATATTTTAGAATGATGATAATCTGAGCTATAGATGCTTCTTTAGTGACTGAGAAAGCTGCAGAACATTGAGAATGAAGTTCTCAAAGAATTAACATCTGGAACGTTTCAGATTTGAAATGTAGTGATCAAATCTCATGTAAATAACTTGTCAAAAAGTTACTGAAAATAAATAATTACAGTGGACTATCAATCATGTAATCGCTTCTTGGTGTTCCCAAAAAACATAATTTTAAAATACCTCCTGGTGTCTAGCTTATAGTATTTAAATGTACACAGTATTTAAGTTATTATTGAATAAAATAATAGCAATTAATAATGTGAATAGTGATTCCAAACTTGTGTGTTTATAAATGTTGTAATTATGCATTTAGTTTATAGTGTATTTTTTTATTTAGCATTTTAGTCTACAGATACAGCCAAAGACGCTGCTGTTAAAAATGTTTGTTTGTTTGTTTGTTTGTTTGTTTTTAATCATAGACTACTAGAAGTCAAAGAGCTGACAGAAAAGCAGTCAGCTTTGTGTGGCTCTTTTGCTAACACATCATCTTTATGGTCATTGTTACTTCAGTTAGTTTGGTAAAATGTTTCAGTTTAGTTACTCAGGCAGCTCTCATAGCAACAAGTGGCCAAAATATCTCTAATGTCTTTATAGAGGTGCAGCGGTCACAGAGGACTGTTATGTTTAACTCAAAAGAAGACTGGACTCAAGAAATGAAAAGGACCAAAGCAAACTTGCGAATAGTCACTGAAAATGAAAACTTTGAGTTCTCCATGAGGTAGGTGGGATATGACTTCTGGATGAAATAGAGTTACAGAGTGTTGCTGTTAAATGCTGCTCATTGAGCCACTGCCAGTCGCCATTCGACTTGGATCTGATTTCCTAACTGTTTACTTGTTAATCTGCTGTTAATTCAGTTTCTTTTCCAAATTACGAGACTGTGCTATATGTGATGTCTGTCTGAGGATTCGCTGATGTCAGTGTGAAATATTAAAGTACAGTTAAACCATCTGAATTGCTAATACAGTTAATCCCATTAAGAAAAATGATTAAAATAATTTTCAGTTAAAAAACTGACATTCGTTTTAGTCCCTGAAGAGTACTGTTCAAACTTCCTTCTAGGTTACCAAAGTTCTTTATCATCCCAGCAGCTGTCACAGATGAAGATATATCTAAATTCCCAGGAAAAGGATTACCAGTAAGTGGTTTTATTATGCAAATATCATTTGTTGAGGCGTTGGTGTAATGAAACTTTGTTAATGTGACTTTGTATTGAAATGACTTGTGTATGTTAATTAGACAAATAATACACAAGCTAGTTTACATCTGTAAGTATAAATTATCAAAACGGAATAAGAATTTCAGGATGTTGTCTTTTACTGTGGGCCTAAACGACTGACTGTCCAATCGTGAAACAAGTGTGAGAGTTTAAAGGGATATTGTTCTGTAGACGTTATTAATGACTGCTGCAACCACAGCAATTTTTAATATTGTCACAATCACAATATTTCAATATAGAAAGCAGCAATATATTATTTGTTAATAAGAGGGACGCTCAGTCAAGATGGACAGAAATTCTGACATTACAAGTATCCAGACAGCTGTAATTGAAATCCAGAATGGAACATATGGAAAATATGGTGGTTAAATGGTTTTTAAATTAGTGTAATAGGCATTCCTATATTTGTTTGTTTTAAAGGTGTGGTGTTGGTCCCATCATAGTGGCTGTGCTTTGTTCAAAGCTTCCACTCTGCCTGTTCCCCAAGAAGATGGATTGATGCAGGGATACATGGAGAGGTAAAGGACTAAACACCAGATACATTACTTCACTTTCATATGGTTATTTTTTGCATAACATTAACAAGTTGCTAGTATGCTAAAATAATGCTCTGGTATAACTACTTTGCCTTCTTAAAGCACTGAACCATATTCTGTAACAAAGCATATGTACAACAGAAGAAAAGGTCTCAAACCTTCTGTTTTTCTTCTATTTACAACATTTTGTTGCAGAATGCTACATGCTGTGGCCCACACCCACCTTTATTCTTTAAAACTAGAGGATCTCTCAGAAACACTTCCTACTGTTCAAGATATTCAGCAGTCTTACAACAAGTTCAAACAGTTTTTTCTCATTGGTAAGTGCTCATTTCTCAAGGATTGTCTTCTGGTCCTGAGCACCAAAATGATCCCAGCTGATAATTCTGCATCTACACCTTTGTAAAGTTTGGTCCATCTTCCCTATGTAGATAATTCAACTGATTTTTGGGTGTCAGATGTGAAGTGGTTCTCCTCCCTAGAAAACACTGGCTGGCTGGACATCATCAGGTTGGGTTCAGTTGCTTTTTCTCAAAACTGATGAAATGTTACCTCTGAAGCCATTTATCATAAAAAAAAATTTGAGAAATCACCAACTTCACTCTCTTTGCAGACAGTGTCTCCAAAAAGCAGTTGAAGTAGTAGAGTGTCTTGAAAAGGAAAATACAAATGTCCTCATAACAGGTAAGTTGATTGTGCTAGTAAGTCGTATGATGTGTTTAGATTTTGGCAATATAAAAAAAAACCTGTGGTGGCATGCAGTCATAAAAACATTGCTGTGGTACCAGTGTTAGTGGTGAAATTTGATGATCATCAGAGGAGAGTTCAGCTGTGTCATTTGTGTATTTAAGGTGGAAAAGTCAGGAGGATTTTCTGTAGTCTTTTAATTTTCTCTTATATAATACTGGGTGGATATAATACATCTGTGGATCCCATAAAAAATCAATCCGGTTTATTCCATCACTGCTGTTGATGACAAAGGCCATGGCACACTGACCGAACATTCCCCAACAAACATGCTCAGTAAACACCAACATTTTAATGTTGGCAGTGGGTTTTCTACTGATGTAGAATTGACAAGTCAAATGAACAAGTGTAAATCAGGGAGAGCATTCTAGAACAGTGTGAACTGGGGAGAAAATTTTAGAGCAGTGTGAATTGTTAGAACATTCTAAACAAGTGTGAATGGAAGTTTAAAAAATGGTGTGAATGGGGCAGAAAATTCTAGCAGTGTTGAATGGGGAGAACATTTCTAGAACAGTGTGAACGGTGGAGAACACTCTAGAGTCTCAAAGCAATTGTGTGCAGGTATAGCTCCCCAGTCTTTTGGGGTTTTGTTCTAGAACAGTGTGAATGAGTAGAACATGTGAATGGACGATAATTCTGTGAACAGTTTGGGGTAGAACATTGTAGCTCACTGCTGATTGGGGAAAACATTCTAGAATAGTGTAAAAAGAGTAGAAAGTTGTAGCTCAGCTGCGATGGACTGGCGACCTGTCCAGGGTGTATCCTGCCTTCCACCCAGTGACAGCTGGGATAGGCTTCAGCACCCCACCGCGACCCAGAAGGATAAGCAGTTTAGATGGTGTGTGTGTGTGTGTGTGTGTGTGTGAGTGAGTGTGAGAGAGAGTTGTAGTTCAGCACTGAACGGGAAGAACTTTTCTAGAACAATGTGAACGGGGGAGAACATTCTAGAGTCTCACAGTTATCACATGCAGATATAGCTCCCCGGCCTTTTGGGGTTTGTTGTTGGTTTGACATCACTGGGACTCTTGCTCTGGGCAAGTTCCATTTGGTTCTGTGACACTGCATACAGCAGACTGATTGAGGTCTCTTTTTGACTGCCTGATTTCAGAGGAGGAAGGTACAGATCTGTGCTGCGTCATTTCCAGTCTGGTTCAGATCATGCTGGACCCTCACTTCAGAACACTGACAGGCTTCCAGGGACTGGTGCAGAAAGAGTGGGTGGCTGGGTGCCATGCCTTCTTGGATCGATGTAATCACCTCTATCAGAAGGACAAGGAGGTAGTTGTCTCGCTTTTAGTCCTTGCCCTTGTTTCTCAAATATCTTTAGAGGTGGTGAATATTTTGGCTTTGCTCTGACTTGTCTCACACCCTCATAAACCGTCATCAGAGTTTAGTTTTAAAGCTGTGCGCTAAGAATGGACTACTGTGCTGCATTATGAGGAAACCATGTCTTTAGTGTTGACGTACAATACTGTGTCAGAGACCACTCTTCATTTATTTTAATTTCCTGTCAAAACAGCCAGTAAATATAGTTTGTTCATTTGTCAGTGTCTGGGGGGGAAAAAAGCAGAAATCATAGATTTAACAGAAAATTACACAGAAGCCTAAAAAACTAAATATATTATCTGACTTTTTGGTATATAGCGTGTCCATCCTCTGTCTATATAGCAAACTCCATTCTTTTCAGGAGACTTGCTTTCAGTTTTTTAAAGAAATCTAAAAGAGCTTGATTTTCTTGTATCTCTGACACAAAACCAATGACGGGAGATGAAATTATGCATACGACTGATGGTTTTTGTCCAGGGAGCTTATCTCCACAGAAATGTCTTCTGCAAAAATGACTCAAAGTTATATAAATGAAGGGTGGTGTATGGCTTTTTACACTGTACTGTGGTACTAATACTAACAAGGCTATGGTTTAATAGCTGGGTTGCCCAACTGGCAGGTGCTCAAGTCATCAAAATTGTCTCTGGTAACTGACCGTAGGCAACAAATGTGGCAGATATATAAACAAGATTGAAAAACATTGTAATATTCCTTTAAGCTGGGAGTAGCCCAGCCTGTAGCCATTAGGATCTAGTATCCATTCTTTTTACCACAGCATCATTTGTATTGTTACTGTCAAGACTAAAGACATGATTTCCTCATACAACTAGCACCCACAGCAGTTGTTCCTTCCCAGCACACAGCTTTAAAAATGTAAAGCCTGAAACTGGTTTGGCACTGAATAAACTAGGCACTTGTCATGTATTTATGACTTGTCAGTCCTTTATGAGTGTGTATTTCTGCAGTGTCAGTCCCCGTCGCCAGTCTTCCTGCTCTTCCTGGAGTGCGTGTGGCAGCTGATTCAGCAGCACAGCCCAGCTTTCCAGTTCTCCGAGACGTACCTGACTGTGCTGTCCGACAGCATCCATGTGCCAATCTTCAGCACTTTCCTCTTCAACTCTGCCTATCAGAGGGAGAGCACTATGAAGGTAGAGGTGATAATTCTTATACCACATTATAAATAGTTTTGATGGTGTTGCATCATATAAGGAAATACATACAAAGTCATACTTGCAAAGAATGTGGTTGTTTTGCAAGCCAGGTCATCAAGATTATTCAGTATTTTTCAATGAATTACAAAACAGCTTTCATAGTTTTGCAACACAAAGAATGCACACTACATATTATGCCTTAATCAGAATGAATAATCTAGTTTCCTTACCTGAAAATGTTGTACCTCAAGCTCCAGTTGTACAGCAGTGCAGTAACATCGCAGTTTTGCTTCAATAGAAGTGCCACCTCATCAGGCCAAAAGGCAGACAGTTTCCTCTCTGTGCAGTGCCCATGTGCTCTGCCACTACTTCCTTTACATGGGCACGGCTCCCGCTGACCAGCGCTGCTTGATTGTCTTGGCAGGCCGAGTCGCAGCACTTACAAAGAGGCCCATTGAACTGTCCTGCAGTGTGGGACTGGTCGGTGCAGTTTGACTGTAAGGCGCAGGAGCTCTTCATTAACCCTCTGTATGCTGATAAGCTGAAACAAGACAAAGTCATACGCAAAGTTCCTCGAGCCAAGGTAAAAAAACAGATGATACTCCATCTTGTGGCTTTTAATTGTATCATTAGCATTTTCTGTCATTGTGGCTGGGGGATTAAAACTTGCACACAACTATTTTAGTCTGACCTGCATCTTATAATATTTTTGCAAATTACCTCAATAGTGATGAATGTGAAGTAGTGGGAAACAAAGTCTATCAACTGTTCTGGTATAAGTCAACAAAATGATCATAGAACTAAATACCAGTTAAAAGGAATTTAATTTGTAACATACAGACTGGGCATGCTAGTGCTTATTTTTCTTCATGTAAAAACAGTCTTTATGGGCGCACATCACACTAAATAGACTAAAGGAAGTAGCACCTATTGCACTTCAGTTTGGAGGAGAAGTAGTCGATCAGCTATAATTATTCCTAATCAGCCCATGTGAACATCATCACCTTGAACATCACAACTAGCAAAGAGACACAACATTGTATTGTCACCAAAATACAGTGGTGAGGGGTACTCGTCTATTTCTCAGTGTTCTTTTGCAAACCACTCTGGCAGTTTTTGCTAAAGAATGGTACATGTGCCAGTAAATTAATATTGATCTTCGAGCTTCCGCTCCGTGGAAATAGCGGCTTATGCAGAATCTGCGGCCTGAACACTCGGCCATCTGAACGCAGCCTAGATGTCGGTCATAACACATGTAATTACTGACTATAATTAAACAAAATGACAATCTATTTTGACTAAAGTTTTTAAATGTATGGGAATATGTGCAAATATCTCCTAGTTCTTTCACCAAATTATTAGTATTTGGCAGGAATATATTCTCACATAAGGTAACTGAATGGTCTACTTCAGATAGTAGACCATCTCTGAGAAATTCCTTATGTGTAGCTTTCTACACTACAAAAGGATAATCATAATGTTGATACAAATAAAAAGTACCAAACCTAGCTGTTAGACTAGCTGCTTGGCTAAGTGTTGCCCTTCACTCAGTGTTAGCTTGTAATGGCAACGCAATATCATAAAATCTTGTGTTTAAAAATCACTCTCAAAAATATAGGACTACGTACTCTCCTAAAAGTCTCATAATTAATCGATCTGTGAGATCTTTTCGCACCAGTGCTGAGAGTCTTTAGTGTGTTTTAGTGCTGTATATCACCTGAACATTTGTTATCCAAAGCAAAATTAGACTGACAAGTATATTGTACAAGTCTATTGTCTGCTTTCGAAAGACTAATTGAAATAAAATGTTCCTTTTTTATGTTGTTTGGTAGCACCAACGGCAGTTGTCCTTACCCAGCTCAGCCTTTAAAACTCCACCCAAAAAGGGCTTTTTCAAGGACGAGACGGAGAGCCTGAAGAAGATGCTCCGCGTAAAGCGCATCAGCCGCTGGATGGCTTCGCCCGATTCTCCAGCAGCGGCCACACGTGAGTTTTATGAGGCTTGGCAGCGTCGCCCTCTGGACTATCATGGTCTGCTGCTGCCCTGCCTGGATGGGCCTGCCGTGCGCCTGTGGATGCAGCGCTATCTCCGCTGGATCCCAGAGGTGCAGATCCTGGGCGGGGGCTCTGTGGCCATCACCAGCAAACTGGCTGAACTCCTGAGCCAAGTGCAGGACCTCAGGAGGGAGCTGGACCTGAGGAGCTGCTGGGAAACAGAGGCCGAGAGCCTCCAGCTGCGGCCTGGCCCGCTGGCCCTGGCTCGAACCTCACTGCGCCTGTCCTCCTCCTTCCCTTTCGCTTCCAACCGCAACTGGACCTTCAAGCCTGCCATTCCCACAAGCCTGCTGCAGAGCCTTATGGTGACGGACAAGCTAGCCAGCCAAGAGGACGAGACCAATGAGGTCATAAGCTTGGTTTAGCAGTAGGAGACCTCTGTATAGAGACCTAGCTTAAGGAGGGGAAAAAATGCCAGGTTAAGGTGGGCTTTGGCCATTGATATGAACAGTTCGTAATGAGTAAGCTTAGAGAGACACTGGACTAAAGCATGTAATTATGAGAACACAGCCTTAGTAATACCAGTTGTGGCCTACTGTATCAAACTCCAAACTTGAATTGAGCCATACAGACAAAGTAGTCTATATACATAAGTGTTGCATTAATAATGTCATGTTTTCCTAATTTTTTTTTCTTATTTGACAAATTCAAGGTTGCACATCATAAGTCTAGTATAAATTGGGACAGTTATTCATAGCATCATAGAAATGTGTTATGAATGATGTATAGTCTGTGTCTTTGTAAGTAGTTGACTATCACTTTTTGTTCCACTGTCCATCTGTATAAATGTAAATCGCCAATATAAGAGAATAATTAGCAGTGTACCAAATCAGTTTGTTTGAATAGGATATACTTTCATTCACATTGTATTCTAAAAATGTTTGAGGAATTTCTGGAGAAATTTCAGGACTTAATTACAAGATTATGCTCTTACCACATTTGCATTTATGCATTTGGCTGATGTCCTTTTCCAGTTTAATCATGTTACAGATGTAGGCAAATGTAGTGTTAGAAGTCTTGCCCAAGGACTCTTATTGGTGTAGCTTGGTGTACTGAGTGGGAAACCCCAGTCTGCTGTTTGGAGGTTCAGTGGTATTACCCACTATGCCAGTGGTCACAGAACCTCCTCCTGGAGATCTTCTTTCCTGCAGATTTTAGTTCTGAAGAAGTTAATTAGATGGAGCAAGTATGGCAGATAGTAACTGGATTCAACAAAAAAGTAGATCTCCAGGATCAGGGTAGGTAACCACTGGACTACAGTATACCAATAGCTGTGCTAAATAAGTTGAAGGATACAAATGCTTTATAGGCTACTTTATTTAATTATGGGCCATTATTAATCAATATGAAATTTACACAGAAAACAATCAGAGCAGTTAATTAGACTTAGATGTTAAGCTGTTAACTGTGCCTTTATGTTCAGTTGTTACATTTACAATTTAAAAAAAAATGTCTTTAGACCACCATGTATGTACCTGTTTTTGGCAACGAGATGTCAATGATACAGCACACATTACTTAGCATTATGTTTTAGCAGTAGCTCAGCCTTATATTGCATTTAAGGCTTTGTCTTTGGCCTTAACTGCTGAATAATATTGCAGTTTTTATGTTTAAACGATTTGGGAAAGGACTCTGAAAGAGTAAGGTAGCCTGCATCTATACATAGACAAAAAATAAATCAGTCAGTAAACAGCCAGTATTACATATGCAGATTATTTACAAATGCTTATAGAAATGCTGTATGCAAATAAAAATGCCTTATTTTTAATATATATCCTTAGATGTGTGTGTGTGTGTGTGTGTGTGTGTGTGTGTGTGTAATATATATATATATATATATATATATATATATATATATATATATATATATATATATATATATATATATATAAAAATCTTTTTCTTTTCATGGAAATGCTAAGTTAAGCTAAGTGTTCTACTCCAGGCAGCGGGGTGGTGGTGTGGTGTTTGTTTTGGTGCCATCTGGTGGTTGTTTAGTTTTACAGGCTCAGCAAATACACAAGCTAAATTAAGAAACAGGGAATATTTCATATTTAAAATGACTTAATTATATTTGATTGATAGTTTGACATGTAAATACTAAGCTTGCAAAAAGAAGTTTAAAAAAAATCTAACTTGTGTTTTGCACGCAATGCTGATGAAGGAGAGTACTTTTATTTTGCCTTCTTGTAGAATAGCTCAGTAATGGACTGGGGTAACATTAATTTGGTTGTCATTGCACACTGAAAACCAGTTAGGGTTAAGAATGTAATACAAAGACGTTAATATTATGTCTTTGGAACAAGAATGTGTTCGAGAGTATTGTAGAAGGTTACCACCAATCATGACTTGCTTTTTGCCCAGGGATGTCTTTGTAAATATAAAACCACACTTTCATGCAGTTACATCCAGTTTGAAACATTTTTCAGGATACCAAAATACAGGTGTGCCTTTTGTTGTTCTACTGCACTGATATTTCAGTTTCATTTTATCGGTATGCAAACACGTTTACGAGGTGCCTAATGTTTGACTTTTGTTCTTTTACCCTTTTTTATGTGAAATCAAACTGTCTTAAACTTTTATCTAGAACTTGTTTACCAAGAACTGTTTTCTGATTTGCTGTCCAGCAGTTTTCTCTCTGAGCTGCTTATGAAAAATGTTAATTGCACTACTGCTCCTCTGCTCTCAGACACTGTTGCAGTTCGTTAAAGCTGATCCAGTTCAGTGGGGTGACTTATTTAACTCAGTTCTTGGGACCGTATCTGGTGCACGTTGACTTGGTTCAACAAGCTCTGATTACTGTATGTTTAATATTTGTGTCCTTAAATAGAACATTATTGTAAACTTGGTATGGAGTTTTCTGTCATGGTGGCCTTTTGGAGATGGTGAATAAATATTAAGCAGAGAATGGCAAAATAAATAAGAATATATACCCCAAATGCTTTGTGTCTAGTATTTTAACTGAATCACTGGAAAACAAACGCCGCTTTTCCACTATCGAGCCAAAACGTTCTCAGGGCCGTACTTGGCCACTCCGCACTGGTCCGGACATGTGAGACCGGTTGCGGTTCCTGTTTCCATTTCTTGTACCACTAAATCAGAGCCAGGAAATGCCCAAGAAAACTACACAAACGAATGGCTAACTGCTAACAGGCTAATAGCAACATACGCGCCACCCACCACAAACACGCTTAATTCCATCTGTCATTCCAACTCCAGCCTCTCAGCGTGCTCTCATCTTGTTTATCCTCTAAACGGGTGTTATTTGAGCATCTGTTACTGAAACACTGTACTGTGGTGGGTTTTACCTGTAGCTGGATAACTACATTAGCATTAGCGTCACCGGCAGGGTGCAGCTCAAAGCACCACAGAACAAGGCTAATTTTTATCTTTCTGTCACTTTAACACCAAACTTTAGAATTTGTGCTCTCAGATATGAGTCTGCATCCTATAAATGGGTGTTTTTAAGCATTGGTTCACTAGAACCGAGCCCATACTGCAGTGGGAGGCACCAAGCACCGTGCACTAGCAGGTTACAGCTTAAAGCTCTACTAGAACAGGTCAGCAACACCAAAAGGCCTGAAAGATGGAAGACAACTAAAGTGGATGATCACAGAATTATGTCTGTGGTAAAGAAAAACCGATTCCCAACATCTACTTAAGGACGTTCTAGAGGAGGTTTGTGTGCCATTGTCAAAGTCTATAATCAAAAGACCCCTTCATGAATGTAAATAAATATGCAAACCATTGGTAACACTCAAGAGCAGAAAGGCCACATTAGACTTTGCTTGAAAACATCTAGAAAAAGCCTGTTCAGTTTCGGAACAAGATTCTTTGGACAGATGAAACCAAGATTATCTTACACCAGAATGATGGGAAGAGAAGAGTATAGAGATGGAAAGGAAAGGCTCATAATCCAAATCATACTACGTAGTCTGTGAAACATGGTGGAGGCAGTGTTATGGCATGGGCATGTACGGCTGCCAATGGAGCTGGGTCACTGGTGTTTATTGATGATGTGACTGCTTATAGACGTAGCAGGATGAATTCTGAAGTGTATAGAGCTGTACTTTCTGCTCAGGTTAGTCAAATGCTGCAAAACTGGTCGGACAGCACTTCGCAGTGCAGATGAATGACCCAAAACATACTGTGAAAGCAACCCAAGAGCTTCTTAAGGCAAATAAATTAAATGTTCTTAAATAGCTGAGTCAGTCACTTGACCTCAACCCAGGTGAGCATGCGTTTCACTTACAGAAGATCAAACTGAAGGCAGAAGGACACACAAACAAGCAGCAACTGAAGGAGGCTGCAGTAAAGGCCTGGCAAAGCATCTCAAGTGAGGAAACTCAGCACTTGGGTTTCCAGACTTCAGGCAGTCATTGACTGCAAAGGATGTGCATCCAAGTGTTAAAAATAATCCTTGTATAATTATACTGTTTGTCCAGTTACGTTTGGGCCTGTAAAAATGGAGGGACTATGTAAAAAATAGCTGTAATTCCTAAATAGTTGTTGCAATATTTTGTTGAACCCCTTGAATTAAAGCTGAAACTCTACACTTCAATCACATCTTGAGTGCTCCATTTCAAATCCACTGTGGTGGTGTACAAAGGCAAAATTACAAAAAGTATGTCACTGTCCAAATACTTATAAATCTGTACGTAAAATCCACCTGAATTTCAAAGAGAGCAAAAACTCTACCTCAGAACCCAAAACAGAGACAATTATCACTATCACTATGGAAACAACTTTTCTGTGACTGAAAAACGTCTAAACTATAGTGACTTTTTAACACCTTGTTTTTTTGCTTTTAATAAAACTTATTTCCCTTAATAGCCTACATTAGTACTCATGTTTATTTGTATTTTCTAAAAGCTTTGCAGCACAGGTATTTTATGTATTCAATTCAGTATTTTTATTGAGACAAGTAAACTTAGAGGATATATTTAATCACTGAGTTATAACAAGTATATTGTTTATAATCCTATTTACATTATAAACTGAAGATATACAAAGGGAACAATTCTGATGAGAAATAATAGAAAATAGAAAAATAGTGAAAAATAAACTGAAATCTTATAACAGTTACAAAACCCTAATAATTATTACTATTATCACCATTATAATCATATTAATAAGCATTAAAAACCATAAGTAATTGTTATTACTTAATAATTAGTAATAACAGTAACAGTAAAAACAATTAATTTTCACACCGATCAGGCATAACATTATGACATAACATTATCCTTGTTTCTACTTTCATTGTCCATTTTATCAGCTCCACTTACTATACAGGCGCACTTTGTAGTTCTACAATTACAGACTGTAGTCCATCTTTTTCTCTGCATACTTTGTTAGCCCCCTTTTACCCTGTTCTTCAGTTGTCAGGACCCCCATGGACCCTCACAGAGCAGGTACTATTTGGGTGGTGGATCATTCTCAGCACTGCAGTAACACTGATGTGGTGGTGGTGTGTTAGTGTGTGTTGTGCTGGTACAAGTGGATCAGACACAGCAGTGCTGCTGGAGTTTTTAAACACTGTGTCCACTCACTGTCCACTCTATTAGACACACCTACCTTGTAGATGTGAAGTCAGAATGTATATGTCTGTCTGTCTGCCCTGCAATGGACTGGCGACCCGTCTAGGATGACAGCTGGGATAGGCTCCAGCTCCCCCCATGACCCAGCAGGATACATGGTTTAGAAAATGTGTGTGTGTGTGTGCAAATCAAGTAAACCATATTTTTAAAGGAAAATACTACAAAGACTACAAATCAAATGTTGAAACAGAGAAATTTTATTGTTTTTTGAAAAACGTGCCCATTTTGAGTTTGATGCCAACAACATGTTCCAAAAAAGTTGGGACGGGGGCATGTTTATCACTGTGTTTCATCACCTCTTCTTTTAACAACACTCTGTAAGTTGGGAACACTCTGTTGTTGTTGGGAACTGAGGAGACACTGCTGTAGTTTTGAAAATGAAATGTTTTCCCATTCTTGTTTGATATAGGATTTCAGCTGCTCAACAGTTCAGGGTCTGATTTGCCGTATTTTTCATTTCATAATGCGCAAAATGTTTTCACTGGTGACAGGTCTGGACTGCAGGCAGGCCAGTTTAGTGCCTGGACTCTTTTAATACAGAGCCATGCTGCTGTAATACAGGCAGAATGTAGTTTGACATTGTCTTGCTGAATTAATCAAGGCCTTTCCTGAAAAAGACGTCATCTGGATGGCAGCATATGTTGCCAAAACATGTATACATGTATATATCGTTCAGCATTGACGGTGCCTTCACCTCAAAACAAACAGTACGGAAACTAGAGCGGAAATGGTGATCAACCAAGCTGGAAGTGTTCCACTTTGCCTGGAAGGAAAGCCTTATAGAATATAGAAATACTCTCACTAAAGCTCGCTCAGCATATCTGGCCTTGCTGATTGAGAATAATAAATATAATCCTAGAGTACTGTTTAGTGTGATTTCCAGAATTACAAAAAAACAGGCAGGTACTGAACCACAAATTCCGGTGACTCTCACCAGTGATGTTTTTATGAACTTTTTTAATAATAAAATCGAAAATATTAGACAACAAATTCAACGCAGAGTATTAAATCCAACTTGGCTGTCATCTGATGTGGCTGACATAAAACATAATGTAGTTGCAGAAGAAAGGCTGGAAACTTTCTACCCACTCCCACAGCTAGAACTAGAGAAGATTATCTCCTCTGCAAATTGTACAACCTGCATACTTGATGCAATTCCCTCAAAATTACTCAAAGAAGTACTACCAATTATCATTAATCCTCTTTTAACTATAGTAAACTCGTCCCTTAGCCTGGGTCATGTACCCAAAGCTTTTAAACTAGCAGTTATTAAACCTCTGATCAAGAAACCAAACCTGGATGCTAGCATATTATCTAATTACAGGCCTATTTCTAACCTACCATTTATATCTAAGATCTTAGAAAAAGCTGTAGCCCAACAACTTAGTTCATATCTACATAAGAACCACATGTATGAAAAATTCCAATCTGGATTCAGGCCACATCACAGCACTGAGACAGCTCAGTGATAGAGAGTGTTAAAGATAACAAATGATCTTCTTCTTGCCTCTGATCAAGGCTACATATCCCTGTTGGTGCTACTTGACCTCAGCGCAGCTTTCGATACGATAGACCACAATATTCTCCTAGAAAGGTTAGAAAACATGGTTGGAATCACAGGGACAGCCCTATCGTGGTTCAAATCTTACTTAATGGAACGTTATCAGTTCGTAACGGTAAACGATTTATCTTCCAATTATTCAAAAGTAAGATTTGGAATTCTGCAAGGCTCTATTTTAGGACCATTATTATTTACATTATACATGTTAACGTTAGGCACAGTTATAAGTAACCGTGGCATTAACTTTAGAGGACTGTGTAGAAGACGTGAAAGGTTGCGTAACTTCCTCCTTCTAAACAGTAACAAAACAGAGGTTCTCCTTCTGGGTCCAAAAGTGGCAAGAAATAAATTATCAGATTTAATTTTAAATCTTGCTGACTTTCCAGTTATACCTGTTCTAACTATGTTCGGGACTCAGACTCAGTCGCAATCTTCAAATCTAGCCTGAAAACTCACTTGTTTAGTTTAGCTTTTGGTAGTTAATGTTCCCCCTTAGATAAAGGCAGCAGATCCAGGGGTCCATGGACACAGGGAATTATAGTAAACTGAGACACTGGTGCTGTTCGTCCCGCCACTTGCACACGATCACTCAGGTTTGTGGACGGTGGAGCGGAGGGATGCCAAATTGTTTCAGGGTGCTCCCGTGTCTGTGTGTCCTTTTGGTTCTCTCCTTTTAGTTAAGCTGTTATAGTCAGATCTGCTGGAGCCATTAGCCACACTCTGGAAATGTTCACATTCTCTGTTTTACATACACCCAAACAGAACAAAACTAATTCCATTTCCCTACCTAACGACTGCCCACCTGTCCGGCCGGACACTGATGGATGATTGTCTGTGGAGCTCTCCTGCTACCCGCTTCAGACCAGTTGCCCACGCCCCAGTCACCGCCACTTGCCCAGCTACCGCCACTTGCCTTGGACTAGCTGCCCACTCTACACTGAAGTTTTCATGGACTCCTAACTACTACTACTACTATCTACTACTACTACTATTAATATTAGTAGTATAATTTTGTAGGTAGTTTGACCAGAGGAGGATGGGTCCCCCCTTGTGAGCCTTGGTTCCTCCCAGGGTTTCTTCCCCAGCTCTGAGGGAGCTCTTCCTTGCCACTGTCGCCCCTGGCTTGCTCACCTGGAGGATTTACATTTCATGTTAAAACTTTGTCTTGAATGGATTTCTGTGAAGCTGCTTTGTGACAACATCAGTTATACTGCTAGCGCTATACAAATAAATTTGACTTGATTTGACAGATGTGCATGTCACCCATGCCATGTGCACTAATGCACCTTTATACCATCATGAATACTGGCTTTTAAACTGTGCACTGATAACAAGCTGAATGGTCTTTAGCCTGGAGGACACAGTGCCCATGATTTCCAAAAAGAATTTCAGATGTTGATTCGTCAGACCACAGGACACTTTTCCATTTCGCCTCAGTCCATTTTAAATGAGCTCGGGCCCAGAGAAGGCGGCAGGGTTTCTGGATCCTGTTTATATATGATTTCTGATTTGCCTTTTAGAGTTTTAACTTGCATTTCGTTGCTGTCCAATGAAAAACATGTATCTCCACATGTTCCAACATGTATCTTTTTTTGCAATTTTTACTTTTCTGCATCATTTGAGCTCAGCAGTTGTCCTTCACGTTGTGTGAACATTTCATGATGATTTGACCAATAGAAATGCTCCAAAATTGCTTAGAATAAAATCTCTTGTAATTAACTTACATTGAAAGTTAAGAGTGCTTTTACCTTCTCCTGTAAACTTACTATTTTGGAGATACTTGTTTTTCTTTGGACAGCGACAATTTGTGGATGCAGTGACAAACTGTTTTCACAGACAGTGTTTTTCAGAAGTTTTTCTGTGCCCATGCAGTGATTTCCTCTACAGAATCATGTCTGTTTTTAATGCAGTGCCACCTGAGAGCGCAAAGATCATTGCCAGCAAATACTGGTTTTTGACCTTGTCTCTTACACACAGAGATTTCTCCAGATTATCTGAATCTTTTAATGATATTATGTACCATAGATGATGAAATCCCCAAAGTTCTTTGCTACTTTACGTTGAGAAACGTTATTCTTGAATTTTTTTGCACTATTTGCCTGTACAGTCTTTCACAGAGTGGTGAACCCTCCTCAACTCAGCCTCTCTGAGATGCTTTTTTCATGCTCAATGTTACTGACCAGTTGCCAATTAACCACCAGGTTTTTTTAGTTTTTTTTCCATTACACAACTTTACCAGCCTTTTGTTGCCCCCGTCCCAACTATTTTGGAACGTGTTGTTGGCATCAAATTCAAAATGGGCTTATATTTTTCATAAAACAATAAAATTTCTCAGTTGCAACATTTGATATTTTGGCTTTGTACAATTTTCATTGAAATATAGGGTTTAAATTATTCGCATATCATTGCATTTTGTTTTTATTTGCACTTTGCACAGTGTCCCAACTTTTTTGGAACACACACACACACACACATACATACATACATACATACATACATACATATATATATATATATATATATATATATATATATATATATATATTTATATATAAGCATATATGCATATGCATATGTACACATATATACATACATATATATTATATATATATGTGTGTGTGTGTGTTTACATGTGTGGTGTACACACACACACACACACACACACACACACATACACATACACATACAAACATACACTCTTCTTACCTGAGGCTCAGGATGCCACATCCACTGCTGACGCAAACCCCGGCCGCCATGTTAGATCTGACGGTCTGGACCGAGCGGCCGAGCGGAGGAGCTCGATGAGGTTTTAACTGCTCCGAGTGTTGAACTCGTTTTCCTTCGGCCTGTTCGCTATTAACTGTCATTCGACGACCGTTTTCTGTATGTGTCGGACTAAATAAGGGAGAGTCCAGCCTCGGACGGCGCCTGTGAGGGGTGGTGGTGTTTTCGTGTCGCCTTTCAGCTCGCCATGACTTCGTTGACCCAGCGGAGCTCGGGCCTGGTGCAGAGACGCGGCGTCGCCGCCGCCGCCGCCGACAGAGAGAAGAGCTCGGCGGGAGAGGATGAGTACGAGCCCCGCAGAGACGAGCAGGACGACGATGACGGCGGAGACTCAAAAGAAACTAGGCTTACCCTTATGGAGGAGGTGTTGCTTTTGGGGCTAAAGGACCGCGAGGTTATATATTTTTAGTTTTTCTCACATTCAGTTTCAGCCTAACATCAAGCTAGCTAACTTTCGTTAGCCGCAGTTCCTGAGCTTTTCAGCCACACGCTAAGCTATCCAGCTAGCTAGGTTAGCTAGCCGGCCGATTCGTACTCATTCTATTTAATAAGCAAAACTGATTAGTTTAGTTTGACCAACTAAATAAGCCAGCTAATTGCTCTTTAAGAAGCGAAACTTGCATCTTTGTTTCTCAGCTAATGCCGTAGCTAAGTTGGAGAAAAAACAGACGTCAGCTGTTCCTCAGAATGCAACAATTGTTATCTGTGCCCACTGACATCCACTCCTAGCAAAACCTATTGTCGTCTGTTCATATAAACACGTTCACAAATGTATTATTTACACATACCGCGGAGTTTGTTGTTGTTTGCTCACAAAACTAGCCACGTTAGCTTGTTAGCTAGCTAACTGCATTAGCGTGTCGAGTCAGCTCTCTTGTCAGTTGAGGTAAAACAGTGAACTTGTTTGGTGAAACCTTACATTGTAAAACCTAACATTGAGGTTACTCAGATAGGTTACATTAAGAGTCGGAAATATTTACAGTGGTGTTGATGGAAACCAGATGTCCGACGCATTTAATGCCTCTGAAAAGCTACTTCACAGAAAGTTGTTAGCTAGGTTAACTAGTTAACGCTACATAAATGGTTACGAAAACTCTGTCTGAAGCATGAGAGATTGTTTGTTTAATGATAGTTTGGGAGAGGTTTTTGGCATAAACCGTATTTTTCATAACGCATTCCTGGCAGAGAGGTACATACGGGGCGTTATAAGGCAAACTAGTTCCCAAAGAAAACATATTTGCTCAGATTTATCACTATTTTACCATTGTCGTCAACGGGGTTGGGATGTAATGGAATACAAGCACTGTGAGTACATATTCAGAATACAGACATGAAGTGTCTGTCCAAGTTTTTGTAAAGCCAGTACTTTTTTTCAGGAGAATATTTACTAACTAAAAAAATACAAAATTCAAAAGAAACACCGTCAGTGCTTGTTCATGAACTATTTTAGAATCGGTGCTCAACATGTAACAAACGTTCGTCAGACGAATTCTAAAGAGGAAACCAATTAATGGCTTCTTTACAAACACTGAAGTTCCTGCTAAAGCCTGAGTGGACTGATAAATCAGTGTTATTAATCAGTGTAAAGGAATTATCAAACTAATAATGTTCTCAGTAGTAAACATGTTTGCAAGTGATGTCAAGCATTGTTGTTGTACTGGACGTCGGCACAGGGTGGACTGACAGGCAGTGAGAGAAAAAAAGTTCCCCGTCAAAACCATGGTAAAGAAATCAGTATGCAAGTTTCTCTACAATGCTGTATTTTACATCAGAGCACTCTGGATAACTTTGCTTACATCTCGCTGGCCGAATTATGCAGACTTTTTGAAAAATTTAGAAAATTTCCGTTAAGTAGGACTGGTTGGTTTTGTGTATTTGAAGTGTGTAAATAAGTAACTTCAAAATAAGTAGTATGTCCAAGTATTGTATTGAGTAATACACTTTTGCTTCAGGCTTTGCAAGTAATTTAAAGCTGAACAAACAAATGCCACCAGTTTTCTTATTGAGTAGCTGAGTAAATTCAGTGACAAAATACATTTAGATTTTTTACTTTGAAACTATATGGAAAAAGAAAAACAGTTGGGTCCAGTCTTATAGATTTTGAAGTATTCTCATACATTTTATTTTCCTTTAGTGTCAACATACATTTTGTAGAGGAATTTCATGCTTTCATGATGTAGATAACTTGATTTCAAACATCTGTTGGTATTGTTTCAATGAAGACAGAAGGTCTCTCGTTCATCGTTCAAAGCTTGGTTTTCCTTGGAAAAAGAAACTTGGCACCAGGCGGTGACACCAGGTCTGCTAACAGTAGGTGGAGTAGTGTTCAGAGCTGAATGCTCCTGCAAAGTTAAACATTTGCACCTGCCAACACTGGCTATCACAAAGCTAAGGTTAAATATTTCCCTGACATTCAAACCCTGGTTTCTTAACTCTGAGAACTGATGTCAGTGAAAGTGTTCAGAGTAAGCAACAGCAATCTGAACAGTACAAAGGTTGAATAAATATACCTTTTCAAGCGTGCATGTGACTGGTTTTGCAGCCATTCAGAGGCCTGCATTTCCCATTATTTGACCTGGCTTTGTCTTAAACAAGTCAGGTCAGCTTGTCTTTGAAACAAGCAACATCATCCACCTAAACTAGGCAGTAGATATTTGCACATTAGGATGTCATATTTAACACGGAGGCATGAGAATTGTTATTGCAGTTTTGCGTAATTAGATGAATTACAACACTGACTCATCAGAACAGTGGCAAAAACGTGGCTGTTCTTGTAAGAGTTGACCCGTTTCCCATTCACTGTGAAGGAGAGTTGACATGTTGAAATGTATGAAATACACTGAAGTTGATGTAACTGCCTGTTTTCCCCATAGCAGATACAACTTAACTGACGGACTGAGACAGCCTCAAATGTCTGCTGATACAGCACTGAACAGAGGATGGAAAACATGGTCAGCTTTTGACCATGGGCTGTAGAAATAGCACAGCTTTAGAAAAAAAATGGTTTTATGCAGCTGATTTGAAGTAATTCCAAATTCACAGATAGGTATTCTGTTGTCTGATAACAGGTACACAAGTATGTCTTATGATCTTTGCACTGATGAGATAAAGGTATGCATGTTGGGTCTTGGCTCTCCAAATTTCTGTAGCTTTTTCAAGCCTGGGCTTAATCTACCTACAGGAGTGTTATATAATTAATTCAAATTCGTGGAGTATATTTTGTTTGAATGCAAAAAACATTCAAATGTGTGGTGATAGCAGCACGTTTAGAGTGATTATTATCGCTTCAGAGCATAAAAAGCTGAGAGAGTGAACAATGAGTTAGTATTCTGTGGTAATGTCATGGCTGATTGAGAGTTCAATTCATAGTAGCTTATCATATCTTGTACTTGGTGCAGTTATAGTGGCAGAGTCAAAATGAAACGTGTCCAGGAGTCTTATTAAATGAGCTGGCAACCGTTGGGTTTATGAACAAAACTGCAAGGTAAGGTTACAAGGGTACAAATAAACGAGTCTAATAAAGGTGTCTAATAGTAGAGGCCACAGCAAAGAGTTTCTGCTTGCATTAATCCTTCTTAGCTATATAACTTCTGTAAGACACAAGTAAGAAAAACGAAGCTTGAAAATGGCTGTTGACCAAGGTCCTTTTTATCCACTCAGTGGGTCATAAAGAATTTGCAGTGAGCATTAACACCTGCCCCCCTGCTGGAGTAGGTGTAAAGTTTTGTATTGTCATTGAGAAAAATCAAGTATGAACCCTGTTTACTTGCAGTATAAACATTCGAAATTAAGGCGAGAGTTAACTCAAACTTGTAGGTTTTGATTGCAGTTATTTAAATGTTGCTTTTCCCCAGGGAGTAGAAGGTCCTTATCTTATACAAGTTACTATAAAATTTAATTGTAAAGTAAAATGCCCTAAATAATGTAAAGGTCATATCTATTGTAATTTACTGAAATATTCGATTAAAAAAGTGTATTTACGGTAATATTAGAAAGCGGATTTACATGGGCAGATTTTAATGAAACCACTTTTCAAAAAAAGTATCTGAAATTGTGTACTGGACTACTTGATTTTGTATGTGGTAGACTTCATTTAGCAAAGGTAGTGTGAATGTCACATATGCACATATCTGCTTAGTGCCCAAATCCAGATGTTTCTCACCAACGTTCACTTTTATTTTCCTAATTTTACTTAATCCTGTTGCAGCTAATAAATTATATTTGGAAACTTTATTCCTTTATTTTTAGTGGAGCTCATTTCAGAAAGACATTACTGCAAAGTACTGCTTTCAGTAAAGTGCCCTCAGTTTTCTCCATGGACTCCACTGTATGTGTGAAGCGTCTGCTATGGTGCCAGGGCCTTGAAAGAAGCTTGTTGTTCAACAGTAGTTTCTCTGGACTAGGTGGCTTGGCCTTCACAAAAGTAGCCTTGTTAAAGAAAACTACCTCGCGCTAAGCTCACTGCTAAACATGACGCTGCAATTGTAGCTTCAGAAACCAGTGGCATTACGCACAAAAAATGTTTTGGAATCACCTTTTTATTTCTTGTAATGCTGTGTGTTTTGTTTTCAGAACAGCTGATGCATTAAAAAGTCCAAGTGAGTTAGTGCCATGCAGAATGCTATGATGAATAACCTTTTCCTAATTTTTCTGGCTGCTTATGTTGGAGTAATGTTGCCAGCAGAATAGGAGTGACATCATGAAGCAAACAGGGAGTCGCTTGCTCACTCGCTCACTCACTCATACTGGCTCTCTCCAAAATATCAGTACCTTATTAACTAAAGCAAATGTAGTTGGTTACTCTCCACCACTGTTAATTTAAGCAAATATGCATTTTTACACACAGTTTTGTGACTTGTTTGCATTGTCTCCTGACAGGGCTACACTTCCTTCTGGAATGACTGCATTTCATCAGGATTGCGGGGTTGCATGCTCATTGAGCTGGCCTTACGGGGAAGGCTACAGCTGGAGGCCTGTGGCATGAGAAGAAAAAGCCTGCTCGCCAGAAAGGTGGGACCACTTTTATTACCAGACAGCCAAGTCTCTGTAAACATGGAAAAGTCTGTGTCCTCAGCCTAAATCCAACCCTCTCGAGATTCCTTCCTCCTCTTGCTTTTTCCTGTTCACTTATATTAACCCTGTAGCAGTACAAGCTAATGCTGTTCCTGCCATCTTCCATTAACAAACACAGGTAGTTCCTAAGTTGTTTATGAAGTGGGGGGGGAGGAGAGTGCTGTTTCAAGAGAATTGGAAGTCTCTGGCCTTTGTCGTTGGACAACATGTCAGAAATGTGCAAGCAAAGATCTTTGGTTTTATGAAGCAGATACTAGCCTGTGGCAAACTCCACCTGTGCTGAATCCCATTTGTGGAAGTGTTCTGTGTGCTGATGACATCTGAAGACTAACAGAGACTTTCTAATTTAGGATAGAATGGTGAATCTCATTTGTTTACAGTGAAATTATTTTTACAAAGTTCTTCAAACCTCAAAGGAAGTTGTTTTATAAAGAGGATAAATGCATATAATGAGCCTTGTTATAGTGAGGAGTGGGTCCTTCTGAGTGATTTAAATTAGTGTGGTAGTGTAAATTAAGACAGTGAAATTTACTTACGTAACTAACTTTTGGCAGTTCATAAGTTGTTTCTTGAACAGGGATGTCAGACTCTGCTCCTGAAGTACTACAGAGTATAGCATTCTACCTCATTTAACACAGCTGATTGCCTAGTTTGTAGGTTAAATTAAGCAGATTCAATGATGTCAAGTTCATTTGCACATTGAATTAAGTATTAGAGGAAACACTAATCTGTGTAGGCCTGTTCCCCTCTAGAGTTGCACACCCCTGTCCTGTAGGAAAAACATTTTTACTGTGTACAGTTCTGCCACAGGAGGGCACTCTTCCCTCTTTTACTTATTTTAAGAGTAGCCACTCATAAAGAGCAGTACTGTACCGTTTGTCTAATTTGAATGAAAAGTCCTCTGTTCATTTCAGTCAAATGATGCAGTACAATCCTACCTGTATCATGACTTTAAATATCTATTCACATCTCTTAAGTCATTGTTTTGCTCATTATTGGCTCCTCCTTCAAAATGTTAATGAAAGATAATTCACTAAGATCAGTGTGCACTTCTGTCTTAGATTTTCTGTCATTTCTTTTCAAATGAGTTACTTTGTCATTATCTTTTGGCACTACAGGTCATTTGTAAGTCTGATGCTCCAACAGGGGACGTGCTCTTGGACGAGGCTTTGAAACACATTAAAGAGACTCAGCCTCCAGAGACTGTACAGAGCTGGATTGAGCTCCTTAGTGGTGAGCATGCTATGGTTTACCTGCACTGATTTGTTCTCACAACAGTCTTCAGTTTGAGCAGCAAGTACTGATAGACTTATGTATTAGTTTGAGTGTGGTATTGTTCAGAGTGGAGTTCTGTGTCAGAATAAATTTTCATAATGAAAAGACTTGTTTTTTTTAGTTGTTAACAATTTTGAGGTATAGATTTATGTAGTGAAACAAGTTTGGGTATGATTTCTAATATATGTGAGTAGTGCTGCACAATATATCATCTATTGTAATTGCAGTTATTGCGGAAGGCTGCAATATGCAGATGAGCCCTCTGCTGTCAATTAAAAAATACATACATTGAGCATCTGTGTTCAATCTAAGATGTGCCACATAAGTGTTCTTTTGTTTTTTTCGGTGCGTCAATTCACTTAGTCAAAAAAAATTAATCATTTTTGTTAAAATAATGCAGGCTAATCTTTAACCACATCACATCAGGAGTTGGTGCATTTTGATGTTTAAAACACAGAAATGTGTAGCAGTTTAATCACAATATGATGTTTTATCCATATATTGCACTGTTTAAAGGGAGCACTACCAAATAGCCTGGCACACATGGGGAAAATTAAGAATCAAGAGCAAGATTCAGACTTGCTCTTATCCGAGTTGCTGATTTAAAGGTCCATTGCTGGCAGACATTGTGGCTATGAGCTCAGCGGGAAGTTGTGGGAAGCTGAGGGGTCAAAGACTGAGATCAAAGCATCTGGGAGAAGGAGCTGCCATCATTGTTGAATAGTGTTTTAAAAAATCTGCTCAGTGTTAGAGTAGAGCCCATGAATCTCAGTACATCCACCATGTGTTAAAAAAAAAGAATCTGCTGCTTGACTTTTTACATTGTAGAAAACTGCTTTTTTCCCATTAATTAAACAGTGCCTTTGTTGGTGTAGGGAAGCTGTCAGCAACGGTGACACTTAGGAAATGCTACCTTTAGCAGTGATGCGCTTTACAAATGACAATATTTAAATAGCCTCATAAAATAAACCACTTGCCATAGTATGATGTTCAACTTCAGGCTTCTTTAAAGTCTTCAGAAGTAAGCAAGTTGTTCATACCCCCCCACCCCCTTTTAGTTTTCGCTTTGTACTTGAATAATCAGGCTCTGTTCTCCTGAAGGTGAAACATGGAACCCGCTGAAGCTCCACTACCAGCTTCGGAACGTGCGTGAGCGCCTGGCAAAGAACTTAGTGGAGAAAGGTGTGCTCACCACTGAAAAACAGAACTTCCTGCTCTTCGACATGACAACACACCCGCTCACCAACAACAACATCAAGCAGCGGCTCATCAAGAAAGTGCAGGAGGCCGTGCTGGACAAGTGGGTGAATGATCCTCACCGCATGGATAAGCGCCTGCTGGCCCTCATCTTCCTGGCCCACTCTTCGGATGTGCTGGAGAATGCTTTCGCCCCGCTGCTGGACGACCAGTACGATCTGGCTATGAAGAGGGTACGGCAGTTGTTGGACCTGGAACCCGAGGGCGAGAGCATGAAGACCAACGCCAACGAGCTGCTTTGGGCCGTGGTGGCTGCCTTCACCAAATGAGGATAAACCTGCAAAGCACTAAAAACAAAACAAAGTAAAAACAACAAAGGAAAACAGCTTTTGACTGGTTACTGAAAAAATGCAGAAAGGGTCGTTCCAGTGTATCAGAAATGGACGATAACTCGCAGAACTGTCTGTTTGTTTTTGTTTTTTTCCTACCACCCCCTTTCTTTGCTGATAACTTGCTTCCCTTCTGCATTCTGTGCGAGACTTTTCATTGCATTGCACACAGTCTTGGTGGGCGCAAAGAAAAGCACGCCCAATTTTTAATCCCTCCCCTTTTTCTTTCATTTTTATTTTTCAGTTGAATGCATGGGGCTTTTTCTCATTCTGTACTGTCTGTCTGAACAAGTACTGCAGCAACAATCTTTACCCTCTATGGATCTGGACAAGTTGGCGTTCTTGTTTTTTTCCTGTTTCTTAGTGAGAAAGGCTACCCTGAGAGGTAACATGGGTTGGGTTTACTTTATATTAATTCAGAAAAACAGAGAGTGTTTACTAAGATATATTGGTTACCCGCCTTTTTAGAACGGTATTATTGTTTTGGATAAGTTTCTTATCCCCACCATTTGAAACTGACTTCAGTGTGACAAGGTTTTGAGAGAAATATGTACACTCCCTGAACGTTTTTCGACATAAAACTGGAGAATCTGCATACTGTCTGACTGTGCTGTATGGAAAAATGTCACTGTGTACAATGCTTTCAAGATCACTGTTCCATAGCCAGTTTTGATGGCCACAGTTTGTACCAGAGATGGAGAAATGTGGAGCTCAAGTGAAACCATGATTATTAAGTACTGAATACTCCCAATGGGAACACAGTTTAGCTGTAGTCTTGCAGCTTTATCAGTTTGATGGCAGTAATGGCTTTTTCAGGTCATGTGAATGAAGCAAAGTTGCAGCACTAAACCCAGAAGTAATAGTCATTTGAAGGAACCTAAAGGCTGGCTCCGCTGGTGCTGTCTAAAGGTCTGAAGATCCCCAGTTAAAATAAAGGGAGGACAGTTGTAATAATGTAATCCACACGATTCTTCAGCGAACCCTTCATATAATGATGTAACCCTCAAGATTCTTCATAGGTTGTTTCCTATGTTGGGCAGTTTCAGACTGAAAAACCTTCTCCCCAAGGTTATATTTATGAACAGTAGCATCAAAGGTTTAGTTTTTTCGCTCTCCATGAACACCTCACTAACACTTCGAGCTCTACCTCTCAGACCTTGCCCTTTGTTTCTACGGCCTTGCATTGGTTTTGCCACTTCAGCGCTGTTACACTCTACACTTTCCTGATGCATATGTTAAGGTAAAACAGCACCACTTCTGTACTTCTATGTGCCTGAAGCTGGTTACAGGACTCGTAACCTCTAAGTTACAATATGTACTGTAGCTATTCCTCAATGTGACATGGCATTCACAAACAATCAAGTGAACTAACCTTAATCAAAGTTTTGGCTCTCAATGGCGAACTTTGATGTTGTCCCTAAGGGAAATATGAGGGATACAGCCCCCCCCCCCGATTCTTTTACTTACATTGTGTGAAGAAGGGAATTTCCTTTCACTTTCACGTGCAAATGACGGTTCCACATGGAGGCGCTCTCCACCCATTGAATACAATAAAGCTGTCTTCCTTCAGACAGGAGCTCCACCTATCTATTGAATCTATAGAAATGCATTGCATTAAATTAGTCACGTTTTAGGCTCAAAGCTGTGTAGAACCTGAAAGAGGGGTCCAAATGGTATCCGTAGGAGTATGCAATGAAAAGTCATTTGATGAAGATTTGTATGTCGAAGGATGGTCTATATAACAATTTGCTACTTCCCAGAGTTTCCATGTTTATGTATTTCTCTGTTGAAATTTGATTAATGAATAATAGAAATAAAAACTCAAATGACCATTTTAAATCTGACTCACACGTGGTTAACTGTTGTGAATTTGTCTTTTTATCTTTTTGTTCATTTAGAAGATGAGAGAGAGCAGATCACACAATACAAAGGCATGACAGTTACAGGATGCTTAACATCACATTCCAACTAAATGTGTACATAGATTCTTTTTGTATTTACGTGACCACCTGTTTAGCAAACGTCTGCTTTTAGGCTTGCATTGTATACGTGAGTGGAGGGAACTTTTGAAATGTTTTGGTGCTGTCAAGGTCTACTGAAGAGGCATTTGACCAGTCATCACATTCTAGTTCATGGTGCATGACTTCTTAATTTTGTTGTTTATTGGTTTTTGCTCATTTTTGAAACAGTAATTTAATATGTGCTGTCTTCTTTTTTTTCCCTTTGAATTATTGTTTATGGTTAATGCTTGCCTGGCAGTAGCTAGCTACTTCTGTTGCTATATGTAGCGAAGGCTTGGGGGAAAAGAAAACTGAAATCGTGTGTAGCTGTAGACGTCACTATGAAGGGACCCATATCTGTACACGTTCTTCTTACCAAATAAACTAAGGTATTGGAAGTGCCTCAGAAACTCATTCATCTGTCATTTATTTTTGTGTGAGATGTGCTTGCATAATGCATGCCTTTTTCCCATGTTACATCTGTAGTTTTTTTTGTTTTGTTTTTTTGTTTGTTTTTTGATCTCTGTAAATTCACCTTGCAGTCAATTTTTTGGGATTCTTCCTGAAGTTAGTTATTTCCTGTGATTGAGTTGTTTGTGAAAATAGAAATTACCATCATACTTTTTGTTCCCACCAGCCACCCTCTTTTTGGATTACTTTTTATGGCCAATATACACGTTTTTAAAAGCCAAATCACCTCTCAGACAATGTTTTGAGTATTAATTTTTGAAAATCCACAGAAAACAGACAATAACATTGTTTAATTGTTGTTCATTTTAAGCTAACACTTTATCAGTGAATGCACTGGTGTAAAATATGGGTAGGCTTGACTTGTACAAATGCACACACAGCATTTACTTAGCCTACGTCAAAGTAAAAATGAGCCAAAATTCATATAAACTGGGTAATTGCTAGTCCTGTGTTAGGAGAGAGTATAAGCTAATTTCTTAAAAAGGTTTGCACATCTGAACTATATTCCAAGTAAACTACGAAACCAAGATAGTAATGCCCAAATGTGTTTTTACATATTCAAACTCCAACCTGCATCACTGCATTTTATATTTTAATGAACTGATAATATTAGAATACTTGTAGTTTGAAATGTCATTCGACAGTACAGGTTCCCGTCCCTGGTTTGTGTTTTCCTGGCTCTCAGTGTCCACTTTAAGTGATGAAGGGGTTGTTAATTAGCTGATTAGATAGTTGTGTCAGGTGTGTCAGAGATTCAGGAGCATCAGAAATTCAGGATCAGGGTTGGGAGCCACTGTTTTAGAGAAACCAGCCCTTATTCATCAAAGTTAGGTATGGTCAAATCTGACCATAAAAAGAGCGCATACACATTTCACTGAGTGTTTTCTGATTCAATTTCATCTTTCATTTTTAATGATCAAACTCGTATACGGTAGGAATGTGTGCAAATTTGAGTGTAAACACTCAAAAACCTGAAAAAATGCTTGATTTTTGGTTACTAACTAAGGCTATTAACAGTGTCATCTGTAATATGAGTAATAAAATAAATACCACTTGGTAATCCAGTACAAAGTGCACTCATTGCTTGACCTCAGACTCTGCCGCCTACGAACACAGCCATTGGCTTGCGAGCCGCTGAACAGTGACTTTTTTTGGCTCCCTACGAAACATCTGCAAGAAATAGCATGTGCTTTATTTATTATTGATATGTAAATGAGGTGCTAGTAGGTAGGTACTTGATTTCACGCACTGTAGCTGATTCATTGTCTGCACTCAAATCGGTTGTTTCTATGTCATTTCCCAGTCCTAACTGGTAGCCTTGGTGTAGCCTTGCTCTGCAAAGATATCCAGGCCAGTCTACTCCTGCAACACTACTTTACAGTCTATCACTTCAAGCTTTGTGAGGGCACAGTTCATGACTGTAAGCTCCAAGTCAAATGCATGTGAAGTTGTGGGCTATTTGTTCTGCTGTTCAGTTGTACTCGCCAAAAGCAACTAAACATTGCCTCAGTAATTTGTCTGTAGTTTTACTTTTTTACCCTGACTTTGGCCAGGGACTATAGCCAGTAGACGCAACTGGTCTTGAATGTGCTCTGCTGACGGTAGACGGTCTCTCCTGCTTGACTGGTGAGTGGAGCCCTTCCACACACCTGGAAACTGTTAGCGCTTTATGAACAAGCCCATGAGACGCTTTCAGTGATCCACTCTCCATGCCACAGCCTGGCTGCGGTTAGGCCTGAGGCCATAGTCTCAAAGAGCCTCAGCCTAGGAGTGTTGTTTCTGGATCAGCGCAGCACAGAGAGACAAAGATCACCATAAACAGAGAGAAATCTGATCCTAGATCAGCACCAGCACTCAGAGATACCACATGAATTACAGCCAGGTTTCACTTTATGATCAATTAGTGAGTCAGAGGAGCGGGCAGACTGCAGGAAATGGTTGATGCAGGTTCAGCTCACTGTTACTGTTTGGAATGAAGTCATGAGAAAGAAGCACAGCAATGATCAGGCCTTGAAAATCAAAATGTTTCTTACATATAAATTCTGCAATAGTTTCTAGTAATGTTCAGTTATTTTACAGGATTTATTCTTAGCGCTCAGTACTAAAGGGGAATTCAACTGATGTTTTTCTGTAATTCAGTGGTTCAGATTTTAAAAAGTCACTCAGAGTGGTTTATTCACTATACAATACCACCAGTGAACCTGCACAAGTTATATGTAATATTGATTAAATTTTTCCGCTGCATGTAACTCTCCAATGTGATTAGATTTAAAATACATTTTAGGCCAAAAGTTTGTCAAAACTATCATAAAACAATGTCAATCAACATATTTGCCACTATTTAATGTAATAGCTTGCTGTGAGGCAGATTTTTGAGGCATTAAACTCTTCAGACGTCTGGTTCCTATCACCATTGTGAACATTTTTACCGGGGTGCCAGTATTTGTGGAAGACACTGTTTTTTATTTACAAATAATTACAAATAATTACATTAGTTTTGTGTGCAGTTTTACAAGAGATATACAACAACATTAACAGAGTTATGTGATTTTTAAAAACATTCGGAATGCAGTAAATTACCTTGGACTACAGTTGTATTTCTGAGATATAAATGGCATTGCCTGTTATTTTGAAAGGCAAACATAAAACGGATCACCAGTCTGTACTACACTGTCGGAAAAAAGGGAACTGTACAGCCAGATTTTAGCCCTCCAAGCTACAAACAATGTAAATTAACATTCAAAGGTACAACATGGTCCTTTAGGTTCAGCTGTGTATCATATATGATTTTTAAAGGTTCACTATGCTCACTTTCTCAGGGGAAAGAGGCATATTTGTACCTTTTCATAACAGATCTTCTTAAAATAGAAATAAAAAAGTGCCTGGAGTCAAGACAGGATTTAAAAACTTTAAAAAACAAAACAAGAATAACTAATGGAATATGGTATAATTACATTCCCTAACTAAAATTAAAGAAGTACCCCTGAGGTTTTTTCTTTTTTAAATAAAATTCCAGTGAAATTGTGAGGATGATTTTTGGATGATGTGAAAGATTTTTCAAGCGAAACATTTTTCAGTAATAATTTTAATCGTTTCAGTCATAAGTAATCATGCTGTATGGCTCACTCTGGGCAGCTGTCCCTGTGTGTGTGTGTGTGTGTGTGTGTGTGTGTGTGTGTGTGTGTGTGTGTGTGTGTGTGTGTGCCTGTGTGACCCTGACTATGTGGTGTTTGCCAAGCAGGCCTGATTGTGTCAAAGGCTGAGGCCTGGAGAATCACACCCACACACACACACACACACACACACACACACACACACAGATCCTGTTTTTAGGAGAAACGCATCAGTTGTAACCACATTAATGATTGATTTGATTCCATAGTTAATTTCACTGTGCTGTGTTGGTTCTCTCTGTGTGTGCAGGCCTCTGTGCACTAAATAAAAAATAAAACTTCTGTGCAGGTGCATCTTTCGTTCATCAAGGTACAAACAATGTAAATGTACCCTCAAAGGTAAAACGGTGCTTTTAAGGTCCAATTTTGCACCGTACGTTTTTCCTAGTGGGAAATGCATATTTGGCCTGCATACACACACACAGACATAGTTTGGACCATAACCTAACTAAATTTTTTACCCATTTCATGCACAAAACATATTTTAACGCTTCCTTGTTTAGTCATAATTAAGAATAACATGTTTAGTCACAATTAAGGGATAATCAATAGACTCTAACTTATTTTATACTCTCTTGATCAATGAAACAATGGAAAAGAGGGATATTTTAATTTATGTGATATGATGTAATCAAGATCATCGCCAAGTGTGTTTAAATTTATGGATAATGATATAATGAAATGCAGTAGCTTAAGGCCAGTGATTATTATTTTATGTAATGGAATATTAATGAAGTGAAATGAACTGAAATGGCTAATGAAGGATGACATGGCACTTTTAGAAGAAAAACAAAGGTGTTTGTCACAGAACGCCAGGGCTAATCAAAGAAACAATGTGTTTGTAAAAGATACAAAAATGTTAATCTCCCATTCTCGGTGTTTAATACTTTTCTGTTTTGTATCAGGTGAAGTTTTATTTTTGAACTAGAAACATGGCGTTTTTTTCATGACAACAGTGTCCCAGTTTGTCTTTAGTTTGTCAAATCTGAATATCATTGCATTTTCTGTCATTTACAGACACAATGAACTAGAAGCATTCAACTACACTCTTAAAAAGGTGCCAAACAGGGGTTCTTTGCATAGTGTCATAAAAGAACCACCCATGGTTCTCTAAAGAACATTTCAATCAAAAATTGCTAATTCTTTAAACCTTTCTAAGTTTATTTACACTCCGAAATCTCTGTGGTTTGTTTATTAGGG